AATCCGCTCAGTCCCGAAACTTGTTGGATTACTGCGCTCGCTTTGTACTTAGCTTGCCGTCCATCTCAGCCACCCGGGCCCCTATTTCCTGGCTCTGAGCAAAACGCTCGATTCGGAAGTATTCTCCGTCAGCTGGTTAACGACCTCAAGCATCAATCACACTATGGGACGCACTCTATTCGGAAAGGCGTTGCTACGTATGCATGTAGTGGGTCGACAGGAGGGCCCTCCATCGCTAATGTGTGTCTTAGAGTGGGGTGGTCGTTAGGGGGAGTTCAAGACCGCTATATTCGGTACGAAGCAGCTGGCGATCAATACCTCGGTCGAGTAGTAGCTAGATTACCGCTTTCGCGCCCAGAGTTTGCAATCCTGCCACCGCATTTTACAAACAACGAGAGCCCTTTATTACTGGCGCGCATTCGAAAATTGTACCCGTCATTGTTCGAGATCAGCAGTATCGTGGATATTCGCAAGCTATGTGTCGCTTCACTAGTCAAACATTCTGTGTATCTGCGCGCTACGCTACCTCCGTCACATCCCATATTAACGACAGCTTTGTTCCGAGACACAGAGATGATGAACGAACTTAACGCTTTCCTAGTTTTTGGTGACTCGCTGTGGATGAAACCCACCGGGATTCCGCCTCACGTCGAGATTTACAAGCAACTTCAGGGTGTTCAACAGTCCATTGACAACCTGCCTCCTGTTCGCCTCGAAGGAATGAGTTCCCTTATTGAAAGCAAAGGGGTCACTGCAGGCAATACAACCAAAGATTTACTGGAATCAACAATCGCGAAACTACTAGCGCGCGTAGGTTTAGTGCGCGAGTGCAGTGGACGAGCTACTACATCGTCTGCGGAGCAACACACGACAGGAACGGCTCATTACTACGACGGGAAGTTTCACATGCTCCCAAAATCGTTTGAATTTCCTAAAACTGAAGCATTCGGGGCTTGGATGTTGTGATGGTTCGGCGATAAAGCACGGGGCTACACTCCACTAAGACGCATCAGCGCACACGATCTTCCGAATGCGTCTATGCGTAAAACCTTTTCAGATTGGTCCAGTCTGCTGAAGCGCATTTCAGATGTAGCAACTGAGAATGGATGCAGAATCACCACAGAAATGTCTGAGGAACAGGCAGAGAAAAAAAAATCAAGGTTGGGTTAGAGCATTTGCCGCTCTTACCACCTTCTCGAAAGCGGAGGTTAGCTGAGCTGTCCGTCGGAACGACATTTCGGCTAACTCGACAGGCAGACCAAAAACGCGCTCGTAGCGCACGCACATCGTCACCATTATTTTAGCCAATGAGAAGACAGAACTTATCGTCCGCAAACCAACCTACGTTTTTCCTAGATAAGTGATTGTTCGCTTGGGAACGTACTCGAAAAACAATAGATAACGTTTATTCGAATCCAGCAGCTTTAGTTTCTTAAATAAAAATTTACAACTTCAACCTTACCTGTTTGATCTGCATTAAAAACCTGAGCACAATTATTTTCTACGATCGTCTGTAGTACCTTTGCTCTAAAGTCTTTAGTGACTTCTGCAGCGTCTTCAGATGTTGTTTGTCCTTGGCACGTTTTAGATCGAAGCGATAGTTTGTAACGCCGCATAAATAATTTCATCCAAGATGGCGAGGCAGAAAACTGATCTTCTTTAAGTCCGCATTCCTCTGCCACCTCCAAACTTTTCAGTTTAGCATCGTTCGAGAGACTGGAGCTCCATCCTTCCGCAGAGTGTTGATCCACAGGACAATATCTTCTTCTGCTTCCTTAGAAAGCACTGCAGCCATGCCTCGCTCACGGAAGTTGAGGTGGCGAGCATGACCGCTTTCACAAGCCGCCTTTGTCTTCGAATCGTTGGCGCGCCATTTACTGATAAGTTGCTGCTTTGACTGGCGCTCCTTGCCAGCTAAAGTACCCTAGAACTAGTCCAACGCCTCATTAGGCGTGTAACCGGCGTGTATGTAGTTGAGAATGTCTTGCTTGTGGCCATATTCGACGCGCACGCGCTTATATTGTTTGCGCTTCTTCTTCTTCGTGCCCTTGATGGTAGGCCGTGTCATTCTGTTTTGGATGTGAACTGGAGAGAATTAGTTTATCTGATTGCTAAAATTAGCCACCGTAAAAGTTAACCTCATTTTTTTTACCACCCCATTGGCTGAACTGTCTGTCGCCTAGGACCAAACGTCGTTTTTACAGCGACGACTTTCGCAATTTAGAATTTTTGTTTTTTTATCGAGGTTCGACGAATCATGAGCGGCGATTTGAAGCAAAAATCAAAACTATCGATTCAAAAGTGTTTTTGTTACGCCAATTTTAAAATTGGCGTAACAAAAACACTTTTGTAACATTTCATGAAGTTCCCTGATTTTTAGCATTCTTCTTCAAGCTCGTATGGAGCAAGTGACGCTACCGCTACCGCTGCCACTGGCAGTACCAGCAGCGTGCGATGCCTCCCCGTTCGTCGCGAACATGACACTGGGTCCTCTCGGCATCGACTACGTGCACATCCACTACTGCTCATTTGCCGACCTCCCAGTGCTCTCTTTTTCGCTGTTATTTCTCTGGCTTTGCGGTCTATTCTACTTCCGTACGTCTCAACACAAAGATCTCTCTCCTTCTTCCTCCATTTAATGTAATCATCCTCCTTTATTCGCGCAGTGGGCAGCACAGCAGACGGATATTTCTCGCCGACACTAGCGAGTCTCAGCGACCGACTGCGAGTCCCTCACGATGTCGCAGGTGTCACCTTCCTGGCCTTCGGTAATGGCGCTCCCGACGTTTTCTCGGCTATTGCAGCGTACAATTCCGGGGTGGGGGAGACTGGGGTTAACGAGTTACTGGGTGGGGCTATGTTCATCTCTACAGTCGTGGTGGGCGGTGTGGCGGTTGCTAGCAAAGTGAACGTGCAGCGTTGGGCGTTTCTACGAGATGTTGGGGCATTGATCGCTTCTCTGATTCTTTTTGTACTACTCGCTCTAAGCAGCAGTGGTGGAGATTTGGGTGATACAGCGGTTGCTGCTTTGATGTTACTCGTGATGTACGGAATTTATGTGGGCAGTGTGGTGCTCCCAGCGTGTGTGGGGAAATTTAGAGCAGTCGGAGATGAATTTCGAGACGCAAAGCTAGCAGGGAAGACGTCGCAAATGATTTCAGCCTTTTGGCATGCTCTGTCACCGAGAGGGAAGGATGCAAAGAGAGGGAAGAGACCGGAGCAACAGGAACACCACTATGCCTTCATAACGAGAGAGGAAACTGGGCTGAATGCTGGGAGCACAGTAGATGAAAACGGTGTTCGCAAATCAATGGAACCTAAGGAAATCGAGATGTCGTCAGCCAGTGAGCCGGCGGGTTTACGCTTTTCAAGTCGAGTGTTTGATGATCATTTTGATATTGAAGAGGAGGATTCACTGTCGTCTCCGCTGATAGCCGACGATGAGCGTGATGCAGATGATGACGAGAGCGCTATTCCGGAATGGCAGCAGCATTTACGCTGGAGATGGCGACTTAAACGTCGTGTTATCCGGGTATTTAGAAGCGACAAGCCCCTTGTGATTAAGGTTCTCTACCTCCCACAAGCGATGCTTATTTTCCTTCGAGATATCACCGTCCCTCTCTTCGACGATGAGTCGTGGTCACGTCCCAAGGCATGTCTATCACCTCTAACTGTTCCTCTGTTAGTTGCACTGACGAGTGGATATGCTGATGTTGATATCTCCAGTGGAAAGTATCCACATCGTGTTCCATTGTGGCAAGCTCTCGTAGTTGTGGGTGGCTGTGCCTGTGGTGTCATCTCGTTCTTCACTCACCGATCACACGCTCCACGATCACTTAAATCGGCAGCTCTTTTACTCTCGTTGGCTTTCGTGGCTTGCGTTTGCTGGATTTATGCTGTAGCGAACGAGTTGATGGCTCTACTGGTGGCTGTGGGCTACATCACTCATGCTAGTAATAGCCTGTTGGGGCTGACTGTACTTGCGTGGGGAAACTCTGTGGGTGACTTTATCACTGACGTGTCAGTGGCTCGAGCTGGGTTCCCACAGATGGCTATCGCTGGCTGCTTTGGTGGTCCAGTATTCAACATCCTGCTCGGTTTGGGGCTACCTATGGCTTTCGCGTTCGTGTCTGGACGTAGTGAGGACCTTTCCCTTGACGTTCATGCTTGGATATCGTTGGGCTTCCTTTCTGTTTCTCTTGTGGCGTCGTTGTTGGTTTTTCGACACTGCAAGTATCATTGTCCGGCTTGGTATGGCAAGGTTCTCATGGTTTATTACTTCATCTACTCTCTCGTTAATGTTGCTGTTGCATTACGAGTGGGACTAATGTAAGATAGCATTGCAGTTCATGTTAACTAAAATCAAACGGCATCTTTCAGCCATCGGAATACCGGGTCTGAGTTTACACTCAGTGCATCACTGAGGGACTCATCGAAGTCATCCATCGGTCGCCTAACGCCATCGTAACTCTTGTCTCCTTCTAAGTTCGACTGTGTCTTCGTCTTGTTCGTCTGCGAAATATGACGATCTACAGTCTCGTGGCGTCCACCAGGAAGACTAAATAAAAGAGGAGAGAGAAAAATAATCATCTGTCAGCGCATAGTTCTACTCCATGATTTCTCGATACTTACTGCTCGAAATTCCACTCGAAGTTGGTTCTTTTGGCACCTGGACGTTTTCTCAATTATCAATACTTTGCACGCTTGATTTGCTTTAGCCAGCACGTACCTGGTTCCAGATCAGCAGCATCGTCCTCAGCTTCGTCCCATTCAGGTCGAACGGTTTTCGTGTGCAGTGGCCCGAAGTCACCTAGCCAGCCGTTGTAGTCTGCGTTGTACACAAACATTAGTGTATCTCAGAAAAATTATGTTGTCATCCAATGTCATACTTCGCCTAGGTTGTTTTTGTTCGCTTTCCGATCGGCGTCGCGGTTCAGGTGCAGGCTTGCATCCTAGAAAAGAGCTGTCCAGCGCTGCTGTTCCGTACAGTTCCTCTTTCAGTGGGTCCTTCTGAGCTGAACGCTGCTGATCGGTGTCACCCCTGTGTCAAAAGAATTTGCAGTTAGAAATCGAGATGTGGCATCAAGACACAAACTTAAACTCACGAAGTTGGCAGATTTCCACGGCCAAACTTGTCCATTAGAGGGCTTTTCATGAAATCATCCACGATTTCCAAAGCAGCGGCACCTACAACAGTGGCACGGTTACCACTGGCAAACCTCATACAAGTGATAATTGCGTACCTTTCGTTATTTCACTGATAGGCATCTTCTTGGGGCCAAGGCGTCTCTCACGCACATCCTGTAACTCTCGTCGCACATCATACTCAGCCAATCGAGCCCTTGCTAAGGTCTCTGCCATTCGTTGCGATTGTGTCTTCTTCACTCGCAGGATCTTCTGGCGTCGAGAATCCAACTCAGGTTGGATTTTAGATTGTACATGCTGCAGCGAACGAGGAATCTGTCGTGAATGTCGCGGCTGAGGTTGTGGGTGAATGGGCCGCTGCTTCCGCTCTGCGCTCACACGAGGAAAATCCCGCGACGTCGTGTTACCCATCGCAGCACACGGAGTCCTAACGCTTCGTTCTCGTGGATCAGTTACTGAAGATCTACGAGCGTCCGTACTATCATAAATGCTCTTCTTATCATCTACATTGTTGTCTTCACTGTCACTTTTGTACTCGTCTGCAGAATGTCCTGTTCGATGCGATTGCCGCACACATTCCGTGACATAAGCACCCAAAAACTCTGAGAATGAGGTCACTGGTAATTCCAGGGCTGGAATCGTCGTGGACACCTTCCGTTGATCTACACGAACAAACTTGTCTTCCAACTCTTGCCTCGTACTGATCTGCGCTCCTTCCCTCCCTGCAAACACCTTCCACGCCAGATCCACGAGTTGCTTCCCTATTAATTTTGTATGGAAATCAATCTCATCAAACGGCGGTGGTAGCGAATACAACGTCGCTTCACCGTTTGCTGTCCTAGTCCCTGAATCATTTGCCCTCTTCTCCTTAGCCTCAGTTAACGCGGACGGCTCGGGGAAATCCGGCATCTCCACTTCTCCATCTCGCCATGAGTGCGACGGCTTGGCCCGTACTTCCACCGGCGCACGCTGCATAGCGTTGACCTCTTTGACAATTGGTTGAGACGCATTGCGTACGAAGAAGTTCCGGTTTTTGGCAGTGTCATACCTTGTGATGGCGCGCAGCTCGTTGCAGCTGATGCCTTTGAGCGAGAATGTACGCGCTAGACACTGCACTCCGTAGCAGAGTGTAATCTCGAGGATCTCCTGGTAGCGGCTCTTCTCGCTCTCGAAGTTGCGTAAGAAAGTCTCCACAGCGCACGAGCCTGTCACTGCTCGCGCCATTGCAATTCAAACTCAAAACAGACATTCTTTAAGTATTTTGCAATTTTATTGATAAAACACAAAATTAGATTGGTAAAACACAAGACGTTCCTGAAAATTGATAGTTGAAGTTGCACGGGCATTTACGCCATCGCAGTGTCTGGGTATTCCGTCTCATTGCAAGGCTTACTTTCGCTGTCGTTGGGATTGTCGAGTGGTGGAGCATTCGCCTTCTTTCTTGTATCGAGAGAAGTGAATTCGGTCGCTGCCACGGCACTGGACGGAGAGCTGTTGGCCCACTTTTGGACACATCCGTGTGCCAGTACCGTGTGCTGTAACTTGGTCTTTAGAAGCTGCACTGAGTTTCTCTTCCGTTGGATATTCGCGAGATCAGATGGGAAAAGGGGCGGAGGAGTACCTCCAGTGGCTTGTGCAAGCGCACTCGACAAAAAATCGTCCGCTGCAGCGCCATGCACCTTGGATAAATTAAAATAAACACACACACACACAATTGTTAGCGTGGGTTGTATCTGTCGCGATTTCTCGGTAGACCTACCTCGCGGGCTAATGGCACAAGATTGAGCAGCATCTGCACGGTTGTATGCAATTGCAGCGTCATCGATTGGTGGTTGCGCGCCAACAACTGAGCTTCGAGCTGAGCCTCCTTCCTTTGCTGCACCTCGCTCGTCATCTGAATCTGCAACTCCTCCATCTTCAGTTGCAAATCCGTTCGAGCTTGATCAACGTCTCGAAGCTGCGACTTCGTTGAAAGAAGTGTATGACGCAACAGTGACTGCTCCTTCTTCATAAACTCTAGTTGCTCTTGCGCGTGTTTCTCGGATCTCGACCCCTTTGAACCCTCAGCGAGAGCGTCTTCAGTCTTTTGTTGTAGTGTTTTCCCTACAAAGTCGTGAGATGAAGTATCGCTTGTGACGAATAAAAACAACGGAGATCCGTCTTCAAGGAGCTGGGATGACAAAAGACAGTTCAAAGGGGTTAGTTAGGTCCGTGGCATTGTCTAGCACATGCAAACGAACCAGAAGCCGATCGATATCCCAACGATAGTTCGGGTTTATGACAAGTGTTCGTTGCAGCAGTAGACGGAATTCCGGTGCTATTTCGGCGATGAGAGGCTCGAGTACAGCATCAGTAAGTGAGCATATCAAATGCAACCCCTGCTCGTGGCCAATAGATTTGCTCCACGGAGCCAATTTCTCGAGTAGAGTGCTCCCAGTCAATAGCTGATAGCTACATATGACATACAAGCACATCAGTATCTGTCGATTATTCAGCATACAGTCATTTCACCAGCACGTACACAAGGCAGCCAAACTGCCACATATCCGAGGCTTCAGTTGGCAAAAAGTCCTCTTTAGCAACAAAACTTTTGGCGGCCTCCGGCGGGCACGAACTCAATGCAATAGCATGAGAACCAATTGACCTTTGCTGGTAAAGTTCTCGGCTAGTGCTCAGGCTGTATAGGCAAAGCCCCCGATCTTCGAACTGACCAATGTTTTGCAGCATCTATACAAATATCGTTAGCAAGATCAGCCCGGAATTCCACAACTCAGATTAATGTGATAGAATAAGAGGCAGCTTACAATATTTCCGTGAACCATACGCGCTTCGCAATGCCAAAAGAGTAAACAGTTGGCAACTTCCGTGGTGATCGCACGGATTGCCTCCGTGTCGATCAGCTTTTCTGCTTTTAATCCCTCCAAAGTATACAATGGAGCTTCCATCACTAGCGCGTAATCCAACGTTATCACTGCATCGCTACTCGAATTCACAAAGGCGCTAAGCGTTAGCACGAAACGGTCGATTTGGTCACAGATTTGTAGGCTTACCCATTGTGATCTTCAGGTGCAACATGCATGTTGCAAAGTGTTAGCCGCCTTTTAGCATTTTCAAATGTCTCGTGTACGGTCGGGGAATAGTTAACATGGTCGGCTCGCACTTCAGCCTAACGTAGACGACATAAAACCACGTTTAGCGAGCAAGCGTAGTTTGATTGACGCGACGAACGTACCGCTATTTTCAGACGACAAAGCAACTTTTGCTCATGATTGACGGAAGCTTCCGATGAGTAGAAGTTTACGAGCACTTTCGTGCCTGTATTGGAGTCCGTAGCCATATTGCTTTGGGCATACACCAGCTCCGTGCCTTGTGTAAAGCAGACGCATTGTCCGTTTACATTGAGGAACTCGTATCGATGGCGATATGATGCTGGCCCACAAATCAGCACTGAGGCGATTTCTGAAGATGACGCAGGGTTGTCAACCAAATATTGAACTGGTAGCTTAAAATCCTGTAGGACATACGCAGCATTAAGCCCAACAACATTCATATGAACAGGATCTACCTAGCCGTACCCGGTCTGCCACCAACGCTGCACTTGGCCAGCTGTCGAAAAGGAGCTCGATCAAGCGTGGTGTTACTTTTGCGTTGCCACACAGGTAATGCAGAGGTGTTCTTTCATCCTAAATGGCATGTTAGAGGGCGTTACTCGGTTCAGTACATGTATTATAGGAATAATCGCAGTATCAAATACCTTGTCAGCTTGGCGAGGAAGGTCGTGACCTCGATCGAAGAAAAGCCAAAACATCTCTGATGATACAGCGTGATTCATGCACAAGTAGTGCAATGGTGATCGGCCGTGCTATGAAGAGGGGAAGATAATCCATTTGATAATAGTTCCGCTTTTTGAGGTAGCAAACAAGCGATAACCTACCGCATCCGGAGTGAATGAATCTTCCGAGCACATTAGCAGCATTGTGCGTAAAAGCTCGGTAGATATTGTCTCGTTCATACAGAGTAAATGCAAAGCTGTAGCCCCGAACTGGATCACAAGAATAAAAACACATGAGATGCTACCACTAAAGAGCAATGTGTAGTAATAACTTCTTACCGCGTCGGGTTTGGCACATAAAGAGTTGTCTTTGTCAAACGAGAAAAACTCGGTGAGTATATCAGTGTTGCAGCTTTCGTTCGAGCAAAGGGAGTGAAGCGGTGATAGATCATTCTGCCGTTGATGTGCATTCACGGGCCATTAGAAACGATAACGTGCACAACTTTATCAAAGTATAGTAGAGGCTCTGACAAACCTTTGCCAAGGCGTATACTCCAGCCGGATATGCCTCAAGAACCAGGTGAAGTAATTCACGCGTCACATTTTCATTCTGGGATAAAATGTGGAGTGGAAAGTCACCATTCTGATTAAATAATAGTAATTAGAGCACAGTTTCTCGGCAAAGTACAGAGGAAATACGTACGACATCAGGTAGAGAGGCTGCATCAGCAACTGAAGTAAGCAGCATTTGAATTATGCCCGCGTCCAATGCATGGTTTTCACAGATCCAATGAAGGATAGTACGTCCCATCTGAAATAATCAAGAAATGCATTAGTGCTAGAACTCAAGATGAAAAGCAAGTTCTTACCAAGTCTCGCATCAATGCCGTGGAAGGAAAACCTGCAATCAAATGCTGAAGCACGGCCTGATTTAGAGGTCCGTCAGCCGTCACTAAACAATGCAGTGGAGTTTGACCCTCCTAGATATTCGAGAATAGCGAACAGTTGAACACTATGATACTTTGCATCAGTAATTTCTCGTCGTAGATAGTTCATCATACCTCATTAATCGTCGTGTAGGCAAAAACGTCAGAGCTCAACTTCTTGATTAACCCAATTTCGCACGAAGAATTGCGACATAGATGGTGGAGTGGCAAATTTCCATTGCTGTCCTGCACGAGCGTAAGATCCCCAAGGGATGTAGCGAAAACTGCAAGCGCTTGCACTGTCACACAAGAGTTCTCGCAGAGAATATGCAGTGGTGTTCGTCCGTTCTGTAAAATAATATCACAGGAATTAGCAATTACAACAAACAAACTCCTTGGCCATTTTAACCCTCTACCTTGTCGACATAATGAGCTGACTCGGGGTTCGTATTGATCATCATGGTCATCATGTCGACGTATCGATAGTTCGGGCACAAGTTGCACACATGATGCAGTGGCAGCCATCCATCCTTCCCACACAATAAAGAGCTATCAGACCACCATATCTCGCCATCTACATTCATCCCAGTCATACGCACCCCGTCACTTCGCCGCAATATACCCGGGTCTTTTGCCAATGCATCCATCATTTTCTCCTTGTCTTTCCGAGCCACCGCATCGGCGAAGAGCGTGTCGGGGTTGGCAGCGATCTGTAGACTGCCTGGTCGCAGTCTGCTGCTCGTCATCATCGCTCGCATGGACTTACTGATGGCGTGGGAGTATGCTGCGCCGGACCAAAGCGGTGCCTTGACGCCCTTGGTCGCGAACTCTGCCGCGTCCGTCGCCTCCAGCATGTTCATCATGATTGTCAATCAACAAGATCTGCACCCTTTCAAGATCGCGAATGATGATAGGCGGAAATTAGAAATGATAAAATGGTGGACTGGTGTGCAGCGATCCGTCTCATTGTTGCTTGCTCAACGGCGATTCAAAGTGCCGGGGAGGGCACTGACGCTGAGCTGGAGACGCTGCTGGAATTTCTGGGTCATGAGGATGTCCTGGTGGCGTATGCTGCGAAGGAGGAGCTTCGAAAGGTCCTTATTCGCGGTAGAATCGTGACTGTCAACATAATTGTCAAGTGCGATTTTGTTTCCTAAAATATTCAGGGTGCTTAATTCAGATTGCCAACGCATTGTTTCTTCATAATGTCACCAGAGTTCTTTGTGCGCCGTTGCCTACTGCTTGGAAAAGAGAGGTCAGTGGATTTCGGTTCCAATTACTGCGGCAGTTCGTTAAGATGAGGGATAGTGGAGAGTCCGAGATAGATGACAGTGAAGATAGGGGCAATGAGGAGGAGGACAACCCAGCGGAGAACTCGTATGTGCAGGAACTTCTGAAGAATTTGCAGCAGATGGAGACTGTGGTGCGCAGCGTGTTCATACCTGCAGGATGTCAGACGATGACTGCACCTCACTCGGTTCAGTGCGAGGCTTTAGTGTTTATGAGCGATTTTGTGAAACGACTTCATGATTTGGATATTGCGGGGCGTTCTCAATTGGAACTGATTGAGCTCATGATGACGCTCATGAACGATGTCTTTGTGACGATGAACTACAGTTCACAACCGACGTTTGTATCGTGCGCAGTCCTGGGCCTTCTGGGTGATTTTCAGGAGCTGATGAAGTCTTGGAATCATCACACACGCGCTGATGGAGAGAATAATCCGGAAGTTGTATATTCAAAGTGGCTTGAGTGGTGTTTGGTATGGCTGTTACAGTCATCGTGCACATCTACGGCATTGCAGTTTCTTAACGACGAGGAATCTTTAAACACGGCAAGCCACGAAGCATTCGTTGCGAAGACAAGTCCATACCCATTTCTCCAGCAGTGGTTGCTCTACTTAAGTCGAATGGGAGTTGCCTTTATAGAGATTTCACTTACTCAAAAAGTGAGTTCGGACTGGGAAATGCTCCAAGTGCCGGGTCAGACTGCAGTATCGTGGACGCAACAGAAGGTGCCAAGTCGTCAACAGCTTTTTATGGTACTTGCTGAGCAAGACGATATGATGGTCGAAGTGCTGAATGGTCTCACACGGATGGCTGTGCTTGTGGATGGCACCGACAGTATCCTTACTTCATTGTTCTCGTCATTTATCGAGCATATGACTACCGAGTATGACCCGGACTTACTGTTTGCCGATTTGGTGGACACTCTTGGACAGGATCATTTGGTACTTCTAGACCTTCTCATTTCAAACGGTAAGTCGTGAGTTGCTATGTACCGCTGAGTTCTTACCCGTGTTCCTGTTGCAGAAACACAAATGCTGGAGTACTTGATGCGATATTTGCGGCGTCTTAGCACTCATTGGAACACCAGCCAGCGAAAGCTGCAGACCGAACAGAGACTTGAAGGCGTGATGAGCGTACTCATCCGATTGCGCCTGGAAATCGATCGACTTGTGGCTGCAGACCTTTTCCCTTACAGTGCAGGACCACTGACAAGGCGATTGCTGGCTGTCGAACAACTCTACGAAGAATCGGATGATGAGGATGCAGAGCAATTATAAATTATTTGTTGTTAGAGAATTTCTGCGCGGCTTCGCCAAAGCTCAGCATGTGACGAGTTTACATGCAACAAATGCAAAAAATACTGGAAACGGACGATAATAGAGCAATGCACACAGCGGGTGCAGGAGCCGTACGAAAGTAGCCCTCAGGCAAACCTGGAACGAAATACCGACTTAGTGTGCCGAGTCTTCAATCCGAATACCGTGCGAGCGGCGATTGAGCTTGGCTTCCAGTTGGTCCTCCATGTAGTGGAATTGCTGGACCATCGAAGGCAGCAGAGGCTCTGCGATGATATTAAGCCAATCACAATCACGTGAGTGCGCCAGATACTTCATCCAGCAATGCACCGTATCCGAAAACCTACCGAGCTCTTGCTTTTGGCTGCGCAAGATTGCCGAGTTCACCTCGTCCGCCACACGGCGACGTTGAGCCTGCTCCAGTAGATGGCCAAGTGGCGACTCCGACGGGTTTTTGAACGCGATAACGGACATCGTCCGTTCAATTTCGTGGAGGAATTGGGGCTACATCAACATTCCCGCTGCGTCAGTTGCGTATACTTCACCCTAACATCTCCATTGCCCTCCACTCACACTCTTCTGGCCGAACGGAGCCAGATTCTTGATGGCAAATTGCAAAGCCTCTTCAATGTTGTGGGCCTTGATCAGCTCGATGAGCTCCTGTTTGGCCAGCAAGAAATCCATGCCGCTGTTCTTCTCGAGGAATTCGGGGTCCATACTGGCCAGTTTGCCGCGTGCCTTCTGGATCTGACCCTTCAGCAACAGTTGCTGAATGCGCATACGCTCCTGCACCGACTGCAAGTCCACGTGGGCTGCTCAACATCGCAATTATTAGTTAAGTTGAAGTTACCAGAACACCGGAATAAGTCAAAAAGCCACTCACGTTTAGTGCCCGAGTCGCGCCAGAAGGCCTCGGCCACTTCTCGGTAGCCTTTGCCTACGAGATAGTCCATCACCAGGCGGTTCATGGACCTAGAAAAGTATATCTTAGCGTGAGTACAACAGAAAAGCTCGAGACAGTTGAAGGGCGCGACGCACTCCTTGGAGATCCGCATGCGTCGCCGAGAGCTGCGTTTCGTTTTGAATCGACGCTCATTGGCCGGAGTGCCGTCGAAACCCGCGTCTGCTGCCGCGCCGAGGCGGTGGCTAGAGCTGCCGAGCGTGATATCGCGAGAGTAGCGGCGCATAGTGAACAATTACGAGCTTGAAGCTATGGGCGCGAAATCCGAACTGGGGTCGCGCTCTTTTTTTCTTCCAACACTTGAATGGTTAGGGGTACGAAGCTTTTAACCAATTAGATAACGAAAGTGTGGCGCACACCACAGTTTTCTGATACTCAGAAACACGGCAAAAAAAAGAGAACTTGGGCTCAAATAATGCTGCGTTTGGGGCGTTCCTCGACGAGCGGCGCCAGCGGCGGAGAGTTCAACATCGCGTTCGTCAATGGAACCATCAAGTTCCACAGCGAAGAGGGCGTGCTGTACTCTAGACTATTTCATATTGTACGCTACAGCGTTTGCTACGTGGCTCTAAAGCTAATGCATCAAATTCTCCGTCCAATAAAACTAATTTGCTGTTGTAGGTGGATACGGACGCAGATGGCTACATTGGAGGTACCGAGGGAGCAGCATTTATCCGCCGCGCAAGACTAATGAACGACGCTAACCGAGAGGTAGATTTGATGTACTGATAGACAAGGAGGACTGCAGCTAAGCTTGTAAATTATGCTACGAACAGATCTGGCGACTGGCAAGCGGAGGAAAGTCACAGGAGAAGCTCAACAAGGACTGCTGGTTCGTGGCGATGAAGCTCGTGGCACTGGTGCAGAGCACTGGAAAGTGTCAGATGCAGAGTCTCTACTCCGGGGATCCGCTGCCGCTGGCTGACTTTCAGCTCGAGCAGCCAGTTGACAACGTGGTACGGTTGATCATAGTATTGAAGGTTAATTGTTTGGAAGGTTGATGCAGTCTAATTGGCTATCTATTACCTGTGGTGTTCAAGTTACCGGAAGAGACAGCAGCAGACTTCGAACGCTCCTTTGTGGTGTCGGTGAGCACTCCAGTCGTCGTTGGGTCGGGGTACTCACGCTACACGCAGTACGTGATTTCCACGAAGGTGAGGCATTATAATGGCCGTTGTTTCGCTGGAAGATTTTTTCAGCTATGCTCAACTTATGGTGCCGATTGATTTATTGGGTGCAGACGAACTGTTCGCACTTCCCGTGCACCACTGCGCAAGTCAAGCGAAGGTTTAGTGACTTCGAATGGCTACAGCAGCGGTTATTGATGCGCTTCCGAGGTACCAACATTTTGTTCGGTACCGCAACGGTGAAGGAGGCTGCAGCTAATGTACCAATGTGGCAGGCACTATCATACCTCCACTCCCGGAGAAGCGGTGGACTGGAAACATGGACGCAACATTTGTTGAAGAACGTCGCCAAGCTTTGGAACACTTCATTGTATGTGCTGGCAGGTTACTCTTTGCGTCAGCTCCGACTGTTGCAATTATCTCTGACGTGATACATTTTTATTGGCGCAGAACGAGATGTGCAGTCATGAGAAGCTATCTCAGACGCTAGAGCTGCAGATTGTTCTTACTGCCAGCACAGAGGTTTGTGCGGTAGCTTGAAGGAGTTGAGATTTGTTGTCTAAGTGGGTACTTTTCTGGTATCAGGGTCTGATCGCTGGAAAAGAGCTTTTGAAGGTGGCATCCATTGCTGCCACGTATGTGCCGACTCCTGCTTCGGTCAGTTCGTTATGGAGCTCTCTGAAAGACGGTGTATTCCTATCTTCGAACGTTCAGCAAGTCGAGATCAAGACCGACGATGACTATGCGAGGGTAGACAAAATGCTGTGGTCTATTGAATGGAGGACTATGAAATTTATTGACGCCTGTATGTGCAGATTGGCCAGCACATTGACGAATACGAAAAGAGAATCCGAGAGGTGACACGCTGCTCAGACATTGTTTATGCTGCCCAACGTGGTGAAGGGTACGAGATGTCACGTTTTGGAAGCTATTTGTCGGCTTTATCGGAGCACGAAAAGAGAGATCCAGATATGAAGCAGCTTGCTGAGGTACCTTACTAGTATGATAAAACCACGTCGGGTTGGCGATTCTCACACGTGTGGTGGTTTGATACTAGGTCGCAGGAGACCATTTTGAGACTGTGTCAAACATTTACCAAGACCAGGTACGCGCAGTTTAAGTATATTCAGCATCGCGACTATGACATCAAGACTAACATGAATTTATCATCTCAGCTGGACAAGCTGCTATCTATGTACGTATCGATCGTCAGATACCAGGCGGGCAAGGTGGATGCTGTTAAGGTGCGAGGTCTTAAGAAGTTAAAAGCTGAATTCCCAATCCTGACCGCTGTGTATATTTTTCATATGCAGACCGTTATGCACAACCGCGAGTCTGCGATTCATGAGGTTCAGCAAGCGAATGCAAGTATGCAGCGCAATAAAGAGCGATTTGCTGCTGCACGGGCAAGTAGCGGTGCAGCAGCATCTGCCATGCGAGCAGAGCAGAAAATGGCGTCGGTGCGTTGAATCGTGGACGTGATTTCTCAAACCCGATACTGAAATCGTACATGGTACTCTAGGCGGAGGATCGCATGAACCACGCCAAGGAGCAAGTCCAGTTTATTGCTAACAGTTTGAAGGTGGAAACCAAGAGGATGGACACCGGGAAGACTGCCAACCTCAAGACCGCTTTGTTGTCTTTGGCGAACCTGGAGCTGGATTACCATGTCCAGGTAAACAATTATCATAACTTCGTGAATATCTTTGCGTCGAATACTTACGCGTTTACTTTTCCCGCAGTCTCGCGCAGCATGGGAAGGATTGCGATCATTCCTGGAGCTGAGCGATGAAGAAATCGCTGAAAGCCGGCAGAGAGCCCAGGCTCCGATGACGTATAGGAAGCCAGGAGAAAAAGATCTTGGTCAAATTATCGGGTTGCTGTGAGCGACTCAGCCTCTCTAATAACAGAAGACATTGTGAATTGTGCTCGCAATCGCCCATTTACATTTCCAGAAAGTCTATGGTAGCATCGCCACTGCCGGCAATTTCCACTTTCTCTTCCTCAGTCGATGCCTCTTGTATTTCTTGTTGAGGCACTTCTCCTGCAGCCTTATTGTCGGTATCTTCATTTTCATCCTCATCATCGTCAACAACATGCTCGTCCATTGTTTCATCGTCATCGTCATCCTGCCCCGGTGCATCCGTGCCGTCAGCATCCTCAATGGCATGATCGTCAGTGTCCCCTTGGGGTCCGAGCGAGGGAAAGTTCATGTCAATGATGCCACCGCCGTCTTCAAATTGAAGGCCATCAAAAATTTCTAGATCCTCGTGGAGACTCATGCTTGTAAGCATGTCGTCATCATCTCGATCCTTTCCTGCGGAGCTACTCTCATCCTGATGTTCGGATTTAACGTCCTCCGAATCCGTAGTGCCCTCCTCTTTCTTGATCATTGTTTCGTCATTCTCCAAAGGTATCTTAGTCTCGACGGGATGAGCCTCTTCCTTGATGCTGTCTGCGTCCACCTTAATCTCTTTCTGAGCAGCCTTGCCTTCTGCTGCGGTTTTCGACTGGGCATCAAGTTTCTGATAATTCCAAAGACAAGTAGCATAGGTTAGCCGAAGATTAACACCAACCACGTTCACTCAATGGGCAAGTACCTTCGCTTTCAAAAGCTTTTTCATCCTATCAGTCATAAGGCATTCTAGTGAAGAATTACCTCCTTTTGGGGCGGTTTGCCGCTGAGGTTACAACAACAGAAGAGTGTTAGTCATCCATCCACCCCCTCGGCATGGAGCATAGAATTTTCACGTACCTTATACATCGCCTCGAGACGCTTAAGTCTGGTCTGGGTGTTCGTTTTTACGGTTGCTCCGGATGCAAGCAGCTTCAGTTTGTTGGTATCTGCTGGCTGTCTTCCAGCCATGGCGACCGAGGGAAGTTTTGGAGCTGCGTTGCGTGCCCATTTCTCTAGGAGTCGTTGGAAATCGTGCGAAATGGGACCGTATCCGCGGAAGGTGGGGGTGAGCAGAGCCCTAGAGCATATCACAATCAGCGGTAAAGTCAACACCAGTGCAACAAGCACACATACAATTCATCTTCAGCGTCCAACTTACTTGGAACACGTAACCGTGGCCTTGTACTGGTCCACCGTCGATCCATTCATCTTGCACCAGCTTCCATTTGGAAGATGCTTGAATAGCAAGTATCGCTCGCAAGACTCAATCATGTTTTCCTTCTCCTTGCTCTTCGCATGACCGAACAGCCTCATGCACTGAAGGAACTTTCCAACGACCTCAAATTCGTTGGCTATCATTGCCTGGTTCACGTAAGCGGGATTGAAGATGATGTTCATCTCGGGCACAAACAAATCTGGGTTGAGCTGCAACGTCCCAAAGTTGCTCATAATATCCAGAAACCCAAAAATCATTCGCAACCTGTACATGATCAATAACAGCAGCCGTGGTTACATGGTATACACCAGTTCAAAATGAGAGAAGCGCGCTACTCACTGGTCTGTAAACATATCCCAGGTGACACCATCAGCGTCAAATGGTTGAAGTCCCTTATACAACCCTCGAACGGTATTTGTGTGCGCGAAGACGTCCAGTGTGGATGCTCCGAGAGGAATTCCTACTTGTTCTGCACAGCACGAAGTCGTTGGTGTTGAATAGACAGCACAAGCAGAAGATGTAGCAAACGTACCTGCGTAGAAGGCCGCAAGGAGTGTGCTAATATACTTCGTGAATACGGACGGGAACACCAGCTTGTGGTGGCAACGCGAACACATATCCAGCTCAGGCGCGTTACGAATTCCACAGATAGCGCACAAACTGGAGCACCGCACATTGGGGCCTTCGATGGCAGGATGCCATCCAAAAAAGTCCATGACCGTGAACTTACGGGCTTTCATGAGCTCGATCACTTTGTCGTGCAGGCCATGGGCGATACAGGCTCTCTTCAAACTATGCGTATCGATCCACGCGCATGCCGTCAGATTAATTTTCTTCAAAACGTAAAACGTAATGCATAGTTTCAGTACCTGTACAGGCCAATCATAACGGTGAAAATTTCGCGGACGTTTAGCATCCATTTGCCAGCGGTTGCAAGTTTCTCCCGTATCCAGCGCTGCAGATATGGCTCGACAAACTTCTCCGCAAACGGCTTAATCGGGTAGCCTGCAATCTATCATCGAAAACCGCAACGTTAAACTCGTTACTACACGATTTTGCAATGACCCAGGTAGGAATTACGCACCGATCCGATTTCTCCCAGCCGCAACGACGCCAAATGTCCAAACTTGTCAAAATTCGAATTGCTGTTGGTCTCTAAGTTCACGCACAAGATAGCTCGTCGCACCTGTCATTTACAAAACGTAAGCAAATCGTCGCACAATTAATGTTCTAGCATCCAAAACCCCACAAAGCGTTTGTATCTTACTGATAGCGCATGTGGTCCTCCTTTCGTTAGATCTTCTGGTGATGCCCGGTTCTGTTGTACAATGAAGCAGCTTCCACAGAGTTGTCCGACTTCGCATTAATAATGAAGCATTAGTCACCACGCAATACACAAGTACAAGGATACAGCAACACCGTACCAACAAATGGGAAGATAGCTTCTTCGCCAATGCATGCTGGGTGTGCATGTAGGCCGCAACCACCGTTACACGTGAAGACATCACCCTTCTTCCCACACACAACGCAGGGCTCTTCGGTATTATTCGCGGTCGCAGGTGCCACCTGAGCAGCAGAAGGAGTAGTAGCGCTGTTGTCGGCGCGCACTTCCTGCTGTAACTGAGGCTGTGTAGGTATTCCGCTTGGTGCGTTAGCTTGAAAGTTCGCTCCTTGGTTTCCCATTAGCGAGGCTACGTGGATATTAGTGCCAGGATTCGCATTCATCTGCGGCGATTGGTGCACAGCTGGGGCGCCCTGTTGCCCCATCATCGCCGCCATTGCGGCAGCCTGTTGCTGCTGCTGAGCGTTGCGTCGAGCTGTCGTGCAATGCAAAACGAATAGCAACATTAGATAGTAATTAGCACGGTACATGACTCATATCCACCAGCAAGGTGCTTTCGCTGTACCTGCCATTGCCACTGCATATTGTTGCTGTTGCTGGCGCTGCTGGATCTGCATTTGTATGTGTTGCGCCTGTGACTGCGGCACATTCGGAGCCATCGATGTCATAGGCTGCTGCACCGGTATCGGAGGTACCATGGGCTGAGAGCCCATGAAGAAGAGGTTGCTTTGCTGCTGTGGACTGCCGAACATCGCCTGCGCGTTGGCCTGCGCCATGCCCATAGCGGATCCTGCATCTGTGCGCATCTGCTTGGCCATCCGTTCCTCTTCGCTCTCACCCGCCGCGCGCTTGTGCTGCAAGGCGGCGTCGCCGACGCCTCCGTTCATCTTGGTGTTGCAAGTGGACGAGTGCGGTGGTACACACCACTAAACTTTATTACAAGGTAATGAATAGTAAATAAAAGACAGCATTCCAAACACAAACACCCAAATAGTGTTCCCTCTGACGCCAGGCTCAGCATTAAGCAAGATGCTGGGTCGCGTTGCACGGCTGCCTGCCCGTGGCTTCAAGACCGGCGCCCTGTTCTCTACGGTGGTGGAGGATGAAGTCCGGAAGTTCAACGCCGCGTCTTCGTACGTTCTTCATATTGCCCTCGCATCGTGCGCTCCGCGCTCTAACGTCATTGTGTTGCAGCGATTGGTGGGCCCCTAAGAGCACGACGGGTGTTGGACCTCTGCACCAGATCAACCCTGTACGTGTCAAGTACATTCGCAGCCACGTGATCGGTCATTTCGGCCGTACGACTGACGACGACCCCATGCCGCTGCGCGGTTTGCGCGTGGCGGATGTGGGCTGCGGTGGCGGAATTCTGTCGGAGGCATTGTGTCGCATTGGCGGCACGATGGTATCCGCTGACCCTGGTGAGGATAACATTGCAGCGGCGAAGAATCATGCCGCCATGAGTCGCCACACCAGCAGTATCGACTACCGTCAGTGCACGTCTGGTAAGTCCATACTTCAGTTATGAAGCTTTTGTTGTCAGATGATGCTTAGAATTGTGATGTATCTTGGGTTAATCTAGATGACCTGGTGGCACAAGGAGAGCAGTTCGACGTGGTGTGTTCGCTAGAAGTCATTGAGCACGTATCTGACGTGCCTGCTTTCTTACACTCACTCTCGCCTCTGGTGAAGGTGAGCTGCTAATTCGATGTTAAAAAATGACTGAACGATACAATGGATATCTGACTCGTAACTTGTACCCCTATTTGTATGACAATACAGCCGGGTGGTTTGCTGTTCCTGTCGTCGATCAACCGCACGGCGTTGTCAGCCGCTCTTGCTATTGGCGCCGCGGAATATGTGATGCGTATCGTCCCTCCAGGTACACACGATTGGAACAAGTTTGTGCAGCCTGGCGAGATTGAGACCGAATTGAGGAAGGACGGATTTACTGTGAAAGACGTGTCGGGTATTGTAGGAGATCTGATCTTTCGCAGCTGGTGTATTCATCCGACGTGCACAGATATCAACTACATCCTGTGTGCCACCAAGCCTCAAGAGTAAACAGTAACAAGAACCACCATGCTGCAAAGCGCGCTGGCTTACGAAGTCTTTAGCTTAAGATGTGTAGGCTACTCGCACAGTATCTAGCAAGCTACCGATCGTCTTCTGAATCATCTCCACCCTGCAGTTTGGTTTTAGCGGCATCATCGGTACGTGCGCTATAATAACGCTGAGCACTCCAATACGATGCAACTAAGGCTTCGTATCGCTCGTTCTTGACGAGAGAAAGCTGCATGTCGTGGTCGTCCAAAGTGGCCTGATCCTTCAGCATGCGATGAAATAGTCGATCTCGTGCAGCTTCGGTTGCCGGCCAGTTCGACGGCACTGCCAGGCCCGCAAGTTCCTTCCATTGGTGCTCTAGCGCATCTAGCATGGAGTATTAGACACGCGTTAGTGGCGTTTGAAGATGTTTCGAGACTGCAAGATGATCGCGTGGCGTACTTGCACCGCTGAACTCGACGTGAATGTGCGTCTTACTATCCTCATTGGAGCTTATTTCGTCTTTAGCTTCTAGCTCTCGCAACTTTCGACTGCAGTACCAGATATGAATCAGCACTATGTTTGATATGAAAGAAACAAAGGTAAACTACGTACCGGATTGTTTGAAACGCGCTCATGGAGATGAATACTACAAGTATTGAAGTTTGCTGAACTGCAACGGCAGCGGTGAGGGAGCTTGCTGTGTGCGGAAATCGTGGATCTCCCAGTATGATTCCTGCCGCACGTTTGGCTTCAAAGTAGGCTATTTGCTGCATTAGCGAGCACCCACGAGGGCTCTTAGGATCTCGTAATCGGATAGCAATGAAAGAATCAGCCATATTGCTGCGGCGTGAGAGCGGTGATATCCGCATCGGGTCTGTTTCGCACGGGTTAAACACTTTGAAGTCGGGGAAGATAAGATCATTTCTGCCGATAGGAAGGTTTACTCCAGTGGTGCCGCCACCCGAACTATAATCCGCGGGCTTGAGAAACTCGTATGAGTCGGCAATTAGCTCCGTTTCCGCTGAAGTTGCAACGGATATGGACAGAAATCCCGCACTAGCATCTTCGATGAGGAGGACTGCAGCGCGGCGCAACGGGTCATTCTCGTCCGGGTGCACTGCAAAGCGATCAACTGCACATGCTGAACTGAAGACGAAGCGGAGTTGCTGATTTTCACCGGGACGCGCACCAACCATTTGCTCCAGCAAGCGTCCTCCAGAATCCGATGATACCATGACTAACGGGATGTTGATGGGGTGTGGTAGCGACGAAGGAGGCGGAATACGCACACGCATGGGCTTCTCACCCACGCGCTGGACGAAGACGACACCCTTTGCTCCTGCTTCATCCGCTAAAGCTGCTTTCTGATGCATCGGACATCCAAGTACGCTCTACTCACCGAATGGACACAACACCAATGCGTAATTTTTCATTTACAACACTACAGAATACAAGTGATCACGTACCGGGACGAGAACATACCTTTCGGTGACGTTGATCGAGAGCGGAGCACAAGCATCGAAAGGCCGAGCGAGAATCAGTTCACGAAACTCACAGCTCGGTGGTGAGCCATCTGAAGACAGCACGGCATATAACTTGAGCTCACTTGTCTTGTCACCGACACTTGATACCTGTTCGCAAAGATAAATGCTTTCAATAATTAGGTATCTTTCTCAGTCAAACAGCTCTTTTATATTCCGCACCACATAGTCGAAGATCTCTTCAATGGGTGGCTCATAAGTAACTGTCGATGCGGTGTCTGCTTCAATGACGGTCTCTTTTATCGCTGCTGGTGGGGGCACGATACAGCGCCTATCATGAGTCTGGAAGCGCAGTTTTCGTGGTAATTGTGCCGCTTGCAGCTCTGCCACAGCCTTCTGCAGCGTGTACCCCTCGAGCGAGACGTCGTTAACGGCAATAAGACGATCCCCAATCTCGGCCAGACCGGAGGCTTCCACAGCTCGACCACGACCCTCTGAATCTGCTACAAACTCCAGCACTTCCAGCTTCTCGCTCAGACGCAACCCGAGAGGTGCGCTGGTCGCCACAACCACCGAAAACTGCTGCGCTTCCAGTGAGCATTTGCCTGTAGATGATGGGGAAGCTGCAGCAGCATCCACGTCGCTTACATGAGCAAGGATCGACACGAGCGCAAGCACAAACCGAAGTAGTCGGCAGATCATCGAAGTTCCAAATTCTTCATAAGACAAGTTGAAGTGTCCATACAAAAACCAAGTGTAGGTTCACGAAAGGGCGCAAATATGTCCGATATTTGGATAAACGTGACGTTTACTCTCTAGAATGCGGGTGTTTGGCAGGTTAGGTTAGAATTCGTTCTCGTGGGCCCAGAGCTTGAATGTGCGATCGAATCCGCACGTGACTATGTGCTTCTCGTCTGGAGCGAAGTCGGCAGACATCACCTTACCGTCATGTCCGCGCAGCGTGGTCATCAACTTCCAGTCGCGCGTTCTCCAAAGCTTGATGGTCGAGTCGTATGACGCACTCAGTAACAATTCTCCAGACCCAGGAGAGAACCGCACGTCGCTCACCAAGTTGCTATGCGCCGGGACCATGTACGAGCACTTCTGCTGTCGCAAGTCCCAGATCCGAACGCTGCGGTCATCACTACCCGATGCTAACTGCACGCCGTTGACAGCAAAGTCCATCGACAAAATCTGCTTGGAGTGGCCCTGCAACGGCAGTATGGCCTTGCCCGAACGGAGGTCCCAAATTCGTCCATTACCGTTCAAATCACCTGTTGCTGCCAGCGCACCGTCCTTCTGGAACGCAATGGCGTACACCTCCCTGTAGTGGCCTTCCTGTAGCAGTAGCTCCTGCGCTGTTGCAACGTCCCAAAGCCGCCATGTGTGGTCGAAACTTGTGGTACCAAGATAGTTGCCCAGCGGGTGGAAAGCAACCTTACCCAGTCTCGCCTTGTGGCCTTGTAGAACGGCCAAAGACTCGTTACGAGCGGCACTCCAGAGCCGTGCAGTACCATCAGCAGAGCCACTGCACAGACACACGGAATCAGCTCCATCCGTCATCTCAGAAAATGCGCTCGTCGGATGCCACGCAACTCCAGTTACACGATCTTCGTGTCCACGGAACACCTTAACCTCATTAGCATTCGTCGCGTCCCAAATCTTGACGAGGCTACTCCACGATCCCGTAGCCACATGAGCACCATCCGCCGAATATCGCACACTAGCAAGAGGACGCACGTCGCCATTCTGACTCGCAACGTTGGCCATTTTCAGAGCCGTAGCGTAGAGCTCCGCAGCGTGGTGGTCTATTGTCCGCGCACGCTCCTCCAAACTCATGCGTTGCTCTTGTCGCTCTCGTTTTAGTCGAGTGCCGACAACACTTGCAGTATGTGCAAAGATCGTGGCACGGACACCCTTAAGGGCCTCGTTCTTAATAGGCACGTAGAACAACTGGTCCTCCTGAGGCTTCGTCGCCTTTCGTGCGGCGCCCTCTGCTCCTGCTGCACCTGCACCGGCATCCTGTCTCTGAATATCTGCTAGAACCTCGTGTACGAAGCCCGTTTCCTCCGCTTCTAGCTCCAGTCGCGACAAAATCTCGCGCAGTCGCTCGCGTCGATCCGCCGGCCTCTCTCCGAACAATGTGATGGGTTCACCAAGCTGCCGCAGCCGCCGAATCACTTCCTCTACAATAGTAGGCACTGCGATGTTGCGCGCTCGCTTCTCCGCTTCGATACGACGCAGCAACTGCGCGTGCTTCTCCTGGGCGGCGCGACTACTTTCGGACAGCTGCAGCACCTCCGTCTCCACGTTGTCTGACACGTTCACATTACCCGCGCGGATAGCTGCCTCCAAGTTGCTTGACATATGGCCATTTGCGCTGGCATTGCGCACGCTGCTAGGCACCATATCGCCGGCGCTGGCATCGATGGCACCGAAGTAGATGCCCTTGCGCTCACCCATTTTACCACCGCCAATCCTGTGGGTTTCTTTCGATGGTAAAAAGTTTAAATATAATATTTCTTTCTTTTTATCCTTTAACTTCGACCTGAGATCGAAATGAAGACCTTAATTTCGACTATAAACTAAAAATTGCCACGAAATTGCCACTTGGTGAAAAACCACATTAGTGAGTACGAAAATTGACAATTCAAAACAGAACTTAAAGTAGTAGGGAAAAAGTAGTATCATTGGTACTATTATTTGGTACTCGTATTGTGAATTCCGTCCAAATTTACCGATTTGGGTCTTTTTGAGGAACGGAAGGACAATCACCCACATATAAATCCAAGTCATTAGTAGAACCCACCTTGCCACATGTCATGGCGTACGTAAATGGGTCAGTATACGGTATTGTATACGCTGGGCGATTTGGGGGAGATTTATTCAAAGAATCGCCCATGGAAATTTGAGTAGAACTCACAATAGTAAGGCCTTTATTTATCCGTTGGGGTCGGCGTCTAGGAATTTTATACTGGTAATTCCTTGATAATAATCCCAGCTTGTAGGTGTCGGGGATTTAATTCTAGATCTGTATATCTGATTGCTGAGTAACGGCTTCTGATCACTGACTGAAGGCTCATTTGGAAATTTGTCATGTTCTGCTCAGTCATTTAGCATCATGAAGTAGCTTCTGCCTCCCTTGCTGAATGCATCCGATCGCCGTCAACTATTGCCAGCAGGACCGGTGTTACTGCCTCTCGTACCTGGACTAAACGCTCAAGAAAGCCAAGCTCCGGAAGCCACGGAGGGCGTTAAGACGCCAACCCCGTCAAATGTAGCGGGTGACACCTGCAGCCAAGGCCAAGTCTAAGCGTGGGCGACCGTCAAGAGGAGAGCCAGAGCTATGGAAAAAAGAAGCGGTGGAGACATTGGTCACTGTGAGGTAAGGACGCTAATTAGCTAAACTCCATACGTTAAGTTGCTAAACTGTTTGCTGTATTGTATGACTATTAGATACGTAACGTCGAAAGAAGAATTCGTACGCGCTCGGAACCACGTTGAAGTTGCAGCTGCATGGATGCTCGTAGCCACTTTGCTGAGTAAGGCTGAGGAGAAACATTTACACCGTCACCCAGTGCAAGAACAAGGTATTTTAATTTTTTTAAACTAAAAAATTGTACTGACACCTCTTTAATATTTTTGTTAATGTTTTGTGCTGCACATTTATGAAGATTAAGTGGCTGAAAAAGAGTGGTCTCTTTATCGTAATGATCGCAACGCTACCGCCACCCTGTTTGGATTTGATGATTGAACACTGGGCCCCAAACCTGGCATGCAGAACACGTCGCTTTGTGACAGCACTACCAATCACAACAAAGACGGCAACTCGTCGGTGGATGACGATTGTGCAGACACGCCACGTTCCAAGCGCAAAAAAAAACAAACGGAGAGTGTTTCGAAGGAGGTATGTCGAACTGCTTTAATATTTTTTGGTTTTAATGTATGCTTAAATGTTGTGTCTTAAAATGATAGGGCTACGTGCGTTGGCAGGCGGAATCAAATCAGTAGGTGACGCCATGAAGGAAAAGGCTACTGCCGGAGCAGACATTCTCCCTTCTCGTGAGGTGGTAGCCTCACTTACTCACCAAGAAGAAGCTCTCAAACAGCAGACTGCTGCTATCAACGAGCTCATAGGCACGTTGAGAGAGAAACAATAGAGCAAAAACGTATATTTGATTAGGAAGTAAATAGATTAGCTAGGCCATCACGTTTCGCCCTGCAAATCTCACGCGTGTCAGAATTCGACACAATTTCCACAATATTTCCGCTTGGCGTATCTTGCTTGTTGGGATTTATAGTGTCATCATTAAGATCGACAAGAATATTATGCAAAATCATAGCTGCTAAATGCATCTCGTGCTGTTAACAACAGTTTTCTGCTCAAACTGCTGTCTGATGAGACGAAATCGCTGCTTTAGCATTTCGAAAGTACATTCAATTGCCATTCTAGTGGCATTGTGAAAATAATTATAGCGTTCTTGCTTTCGAAAAAGCTGGCCACCTTCTTCTCGAGGGATATATGGTGTTAATAGTTCACAACTGAGAGTAAAACCAGCGTCACCGAGTAGATGGCACCTTCGAGGAATTACATTTTGAATTGTATTGCCCATTTTTGACACTTTCCATGTTTTTCTATCGCTATAAGATCCTGGACGCATGTCATAGTCCATGAAACGCCGACGGTGGTCCCAGACCGCCTGCATGTTAATAGCAGGGTAAAAATCTTTGCAATACCATCCATCATGGTCGGCAGGTCGAGCTATTTCAAAACGTGAACCATCTACAACTCCAAGACGTACGGAAATCCACGAACGCTGGAGAAACCTTCCATAATATCTTTCCATTCCATCTCTGTAGACGGTAGCTTAATAAAATGATCAGCCCGCTCACAAATAATTGAAAGCAATACATTAATTGTAGCGACTGTGTGTGACTGAGATATTCCTAGAGCAAGTTCTGCGTCCTTCATACTTCCAGGCGACGCCAAGTAAAGCAGCAACAAGCTCATTTTCTTTTCAAACGTGTGGTCTCGCCCGAAGAGTAAGCTTGGGGTAGAGTAAGGCCGAAAGATTTCACAAATTCGACTAAAATTGCACTGAGAACATCGTAAATTATCGCGAAACCATGCGTCAAAGCGAGAAGATGCCATTAATTCATCGAAATTGAGCTGAGTCACTGTACGCGGGTTTTTATTATCTGCTCGCAAACGCGACGATGTCGCCGCAATAGTAGCCGTACTTACAGCCTCCAGGAGCACGACTAGCACAGTGTCTTCGTCTGCATCTTCTCCTGACGAGTCAGCGAGCTATTTTTGCCTCTAGTTCTCAGTGCCTATCTCGGAATATTATCCCGATTAAATTCCCACCCCCAGGGGGGGGGTGGTGAAAATAAAAGCCTCAACTGGGGATAAACGTCTACCCAATCACATTTGAGTTAGTAAATTCCTAGGCCCCGACCCCGACGGAGAAATAAGGGCCTAATGGAAAGTAGTGGGTCCATCAGTACTATTTTCATTTTTTTGAAAATTAAAAACATCAACTAGACAAACTAAATTTAACTAAGCCGTGCGTGCGCGGGCGAGCTCTGAAATTTACGCTAGCGTTGTTAGTGAATAGTGAATCGTAATAAGTTGTGCGTGCGTGCAACTGAATGTCCTCATTCTCGTTGTTTTGAGAGTGCGTAGGAGAAAAAAAGATGAGGATGACTGCATGAAGAAGCTGTATGTGGAGAAATATGCCAATATAATGGCGTATGAGCTGTGTACAGTTGCAGGAGCATTAGAAAACTGTGGATCTGATCGAAATGTACGCTCTACTACTGGTAGCGAGAGTGCAACTTCTGCGTCGCGATTTTCAGGCGGTATATGCTGGTAGCACAATAAATCTTACCAAAGTAAAAAAAAAAACTGCGACGTCCAAACGGCAGTAAGTACATGCGAGCATAAATGAGGTCAAAAAGGATGAAGTGGACCTGTTAGACGAACAGCAGGGATACAAAGATCAACTTGATGCAGCTTTTGGATGCTAGTAGTGGCTGTTGTAGCACCAAGAGTAGAAAAACATCATGAACGGCATGGCTAATGTAACTAGTGCGCCATTATTACTCCGTTAGAACGTCAAATTTCTTGTACCAGTTATAAGAATTGTATAACTTGGAACAAAGTAGCGCAAATTATTTAAAGTAAGCCGTTCTGTAAGAAACATTTGAGAGAGTGTCCTTACTCGTGTCACTGCCACGTAAAACGAGGAACGTTGTGGCTGATTTCGTGTGTGGTGACGCATTGGACCAACAATTAGCTTCTGAACGGTGAGACCTTGGCACTTTTCTGACGTTAGCGAAAATGCTGGAACAACTGGTGCTTGAACATATTAATGGTAAATGAACGGTCTGGTAGAGTAATGGAGATCCCCGCTTTTCACGTGCTTGTACGGGGACAATTCCTGGTGCAAGTCCGTCCACTATTGATCGCGATTTGTCGTATTCCAGCAGCTGTATGATGACGATGGCGGGGGGTTTCGCGTAAAGACACACACTTAAGTTGAAGTCTTGACCGTCAATTTTAATCTTTCGCGTCGTCAATCGAGTCGTGCCATGTTGGTCGGGCTGGATATTTATAACGTGACCGATTGTACCATTGGCTAGCTCCAGTGCTCGACTCACATTTTGAGTGCACTGGACTGGCATCCCAACTGCTAGATTCAGCACAATGGCCGTATTGACAGTTTTGTCGTCACGAATATTCTTTAAACTACTTTGTTGGGATCGGGATATCTGGAAACGAGACTTCGAAATAATGGCGGGGTACTGATGCAAGGTTTTGGACTGTCGACAACAAAAACATTCTGCCGATTGATCATTAAATTCACTACGAAACATGTTCGAAGTGACGATAATCGGACAGAACGACTTGGTATCCACTGCAGACGACTTCCAGTTGTCATAGTAGCATTGGTTATTCACGTAATCGATGTCGTCTTCAGTGTAATTCCCATATCTCCATCTCTCAAGAATTTCGGCCCATTTTGGATCTGCTCGATGTCTCATGTTTTCCTCAAGGAAAACTACCTCGTTTATCTGTTGGTAAGCCTGAATTCCGCGTATTCTCGCGAAATAGGTGACAGTATTGTTTCTTGAGGTCGGGTTAGACGCAGGCTGTGGGGGATGGTCGACAAACGCCGGAACACCAGCAACTGAGAGTTGTTGAAGCCAATCGCCCACAAATAGTACGTGAATTCCACCAAAAAATACATCCGGTTTCTGTTTTAAGACACGTTGTGCTTGGTCCATCATTCCGATAAACTTAACATCTGTAGTCGATGCTTCATCCATAATAAACATCTTTAACCGCGCAAATCGCTCTCGCTATTAAATAGTGTATCGCTTCGACGTCATGTTCGTGTTTACCCCCCCCCCCCCCATTGAAAAAGCTTATGGATGGTCTGTCCATTGGCAGCCTTCGCAGCAACACCCTGATATGCCACTGTTTCAACTGCATCCGAGCTTTCCCAAGATTTTGCAAGTGCTTGGAGGGCTTTAATTACTAGGCTTTTACCTGCTCCTGGAGAACCGCCTAAAAAAACAACCATTTGTTCAACGTTGTCACAACTTGCTGCTATCAATGACTGCAATAATCTTGAGCCAGCCCGAACAAACATTTTGTGTTGTTTACGGTTTAGTTGGAAAAAAACGACACTTCTCGAAGTGACGCGTTCGCATGGAGTACTGTATTTCCAATACCTCCGGTGTCAACAGGAATCGGCCAAGGCTCGTCATTCTCACCATTATTAAAAACCATTCGTACGCGAGTGGGATTATCAGAGCATTGCACGAGTATCTCGTCATTCAGTGTAGGCAATGTTGATTTTTATTCAGCCATTGCAATTCGTGGCCTCCATTCATCGTCAGAAAGCTGTGGTATCGCCAGATTCTTCTGCTCAAAAGTGAGTCAGCTCGAGCTTGCTGCAAGCTCCGATGACTTTTCCCCTACCTCCAGTAGTGATATGTTTTTTGTAATAGGCAATGCCAAAACATAATCTTCTGGAATGTCATCACTTGAGCCATCAACACAAATTGCTTCTTCAGCTTGCTCCGACGCACAGTAGTTACTGCCGTCGTATAAGTAATCATCGTCATTGCCATTTTCATCCAACATAGCTCTAAAGTGCTCCATATTGGAATCTGACCGTTTCCTCGCTAATTCTCCCGACGTATAGTAATCGTTGGAGTTCTGTAAGAACTGACGGGCAATTTCAGGTGCTTCATCTCTCCACCATTTCGCTGAGATTGTGTTTTGAAAAATCCCCACGTCGTCGGAACGGCTTAAACAGTACCAGTAAAGATTGTTGATGCGTAAGTTGTGCCTCGAGCTCCATGTTGTCCGATCGAGCATCCGGGAATCATTTCCCAATGAGGGTAGCGACTGCAGGAAATTTTCTTCTGTGTAAACTATGAGTAGTAGCTTGACCGTGATTGGAAAGGAAACGCTCTCCACTTACACTATTCTCCTTTTTCCAATATTTTGTGAAGTCCATCAGAGACGCCATCTCAAGCTCATCGGGTCGATAGATAAAATCAAAAACGGCGCTCGTTGGCTTGCACGTCGTCGTTGAGCTACTACAACTCAACATTACGTCACAGGACTCCTCAGTAAAAATGAATTGCACAAACGAGCACAGAAACACTTTCACGAATTCGGTAGACGTGTAAAACGGGGAACTACGAATAACAAAGAGTACTGCCAATGTGGCAGCAACTTCATGTGGTTTTGAAAGGGAACAACGCCTTGATTATATGCATCGTTTGCCCGCTTCAATCTCCGAGTCCGACGGGGTCCTCTTTGACGTAGCCTTGTTAAATACATGCATGTAAATTGCCAGGGGCTTTTCCAGTGTGTTCTGTTCTTTGGTTGTGTACTTGAGCATATAGAACGCTTTCTCTAGACCGTCTCCGGCTGTAAGAACCTTTAAGTCATGATTGTACTTAAAGGTTTTCGCCAGGACAGGAGAGTAGATATTAAGATATTCACATCCAATACGACGCTCTGTTTCCACTGAACCATCAGGCAGCCATCGTGTCGACGGAAAGATTGGTTTTGGGAATAACATCCGGCATATATTAGCTTTCGGTGTCCGCCTAGTTTACTTGAAGCAAGAGCGGCGGTGAAACCAGTCATGAGTTTGAAAGTAAAGTAATGCTGCTGATTCTCTCAGCAAACACACTACTTCTTGTCCGTCTGGGGGAAAAAGAGGCAGCGGATGTGGATGAGCCAAATGCCGACGTACCATTTCAGTGCACCATTCAGTATCGGGCACAGGACTTTTACTTGCTAATCGCTTCATTTGGCCTTCAATCACCTCATTCGCTCCGAAAAACGACTGGCGCGATACAAATTTTTTTTGAAGTTGTCGTTCTCGAAGCCCCACTTCGAGCCTTTTTAAATGCTTCCTCGCACATTTCACTTGAAGTAAGTTGGCTTTCCTCACATTGCGGGCAAACATCGTTCGTAGCAGGAAATGTTGTTTTCGTTATCGATGCAACATACGCAAGAACACGATTGCGAGAGTCCAAGCGCTGGCACGATTCATCATACTCATCAACGGTTCGGGGTATACCTTCAATCCAGACAAGCATGTGATAATGTAAATCTCCAGTAGAGTTTTGGGATTCTGTCGCAGCAAAGAAAGCCCGTGTCCGCCCAAACAATCCATAACGTGGCTTGGACGTATTTTTTTTTTCGTGGTCCCAATTGAGAACTACATCAATAAAAATGTTCATGAGGTGATCAAAGTATCTGTGCATACCAAAACAAATTGATCAGAACTTGTAAAAGCCGGTAATACTTTTTAGATGTCGAAGGAAAAGCGAACCTTGCACAAGCTGTAAGGTTTTCTGTTGCAATCATGCTGAGGCGGGATTGCGTAAGCTCCAGGCACTCATAAAGTGATATTCGAGCTCTCGCTAGCATTTGATCCGACATGCTCCCCTCAAGCCTTGCCATTTGATATGTGCTACTGGTACTAGGCGACAGCGTAAAGAAAATGGATGGCTGCCCCGCTTCCAACTGCAGCGACATAACTTTGCTTCGAGCATCGGCACGTTCTTCGTTCGATCCCCAGTGAGCTCTAACGCCCGTCGAAATGCCAAAGCAAAGATTTTGGACGGCTTAAGAGGATGGTGGAGGATCTGGTGCCCGTTTTCTTTGATTTATGGCTTTTAGGCGGGCATCCCGATATTCAATGGGACTGCGTAACTCGGAGCGATCAACATTTGCGGAGCTTCTTGCCACATGAGGCGCTAGTTTAGCACGTAGATAAACGGCACGCATGGCGTGGTGACGCGCCAATATGTTGAAAGCAACAAGCATGAATGACGGATGATGAGCATGCTTTTGATGCGATAGCCGCAAACAATAGCGCATGTATTCTTCAACACCGATTCGTACGGCTCTTGGCTCATCCAGTCCTCCACGACTATAGGGAAAAGGCTCACAAAACGTGTAAATCCAGTAAGCAGGAGTAAAATCTGATAATATCTCTGATGATCGCCAGACCACAACATCAGAGGTATCCTTCAGAATTGTTCGAGCCTGTGTGTTGGCGTCTTCGCCGGCATAGTCAGTGACTAGGGCAACTGCTGTTTGTGAACAAAGTTCATCTTCATCATTTGCGCCAAATATCGATGGTGCGGGGGCATTAAACCGCCAGTGCGCTGCATCTAATTCGTTGGCCATCGCTGATTCCTCTGCGTTGCCCTCAGTTGTACAATCACTCAGAACATTGTGTTGATCATGACTTTCATCCAAATCCGTTTCCAAACTAGACGTGAGCTGCACGTTGCGGTAGAGAACATTGTTTCTACGATACCATCCATACTGATCTCGCAGACGTGAAACACGAATTTGGTATCGCTTTGCCGTTTCTGCTTTTTGGCGTGGCGTCATAGAGCCTACCATAGATACACCAATTATTCCCTTGGACACCACTGGTTCCGGAAGTAGCTGAGCAGGTGGGGTAGGGGTAGCTCGAAAGAAGTACACATGGGATCGAAGTGGAGAATGACGACCACCACGAACAACTGTAACGAATTGGGTTGGCTGAGCAAGATTTAACATTGCATTCTCAGTCATCGTCGGCTCATCAAATTGGGTCGGCAGAACTCCAATGTGTAGCCCATTGGCAATTGCAAATTTCGGGGGTGAAGACAGCTTTTTGTTCGCGAATGATGCGTAGCATGCATTACAAAGGTGAAGAATCACTTTTTCGCCCTCAATAGTAACTCCGGTCCGTGAAAGCAGGATACCGTGAAGTTGGGACGAAATATCAGTCAACTCATAGCGTTCCATAAGACCTGGAGGTAGATTTGCCGGGAACTTCAATATCTTTCTCATCGTCTGAACAAGAGAGCTATTTCGTGATACTGGTTTGTCTACCACAGTATCAGCTGGATGAAATGCGTCACAAACGCAGCACACCTTGTCTGGGTGGATCGCCATTCGCCTACCGCACTCAGCGTAAAAACGTGGCTTTGTTTCAGGAGAAATCGGCTCTAGCCGGTCAGGCACGACTCTCTCCAGGTCCGGTTGGTACGAATGCAGGTCTTCTCAACATGGAGCTCCTGAACACACGTCGGATGCACTTTGGTCAGCATGTTTACTTCTTCCAGTATGCTTGTTTGGTACAGGTTGCGGGGTAGACCCTGCCAGTTGCTTGCGTTTCACCATACTTATTGCGTGTAATCCAATCCAAGAGCTATATTATACAAGTTGTATTAGCACCAAGTCAAACCGTTGATGATCTTTCAATGGGAGATAATGAGCCTACTTCCTACTCCCATATTGAAGATCACACGTACCCGTTAGACATAGAATTATTACGTGGATTGCTTGGCATCAATTGGCATTGACAATTCCATCTTTTGACATTTTTTCTTTGGCAAGAACACTGGACTCAACTGGAGGTTGGCTCCAAAAAGCGCTACCAAAAATACTGGACGAAAGATTCTAAGGACATGAAGCGGCTTAGCCTTCCGGTCCCGAAGGGCTGCACTTCCTCACTCAAGAAACGTCGCGAAAAAGTGAAGACAATGGCGGAGAGAGCTATTACAACTGCTCAAGGTTTGAAATGACATGTTGTACGCCTTAAGTGCTAATACTAAAACCTTCTGTTTTCTAGAACTCAGGACGTACGCCAGAGCATCTAAATATCCCAATGAAATAGTCGTCATCTACGGATTGTTCTTGTGGGGTCTTACCACACCACTGAAAGAGGCAGAAATATTGCTCATCTGCATCTTTACGACGCTGTTGTTGATGATTTATTGGCCGACCTTCTTGAGGTATGGTATTTTTTAATGAGGTAATTTAACACTAGTATCTAATTTGCATGCTGTGAGATAGAACTACAAGTATGAAGGCGACCGCCACTTTGATACTGACAAAGAGCTAATGACGGCTACCGTATGGATGTGGTCGAAGAAAGTAAAGGCTCCGGGTGACATCGTTCGAATTGCGCACTTTACCGGCTTGGGTGTCTTTAGCGAGGAGGCCTGTCAATTCAATACAAAGTTCGCTGATGTACGTGTTGCTCAGCACGCAACCACTATTGACCATCAAACCGCGGTGGATGAGGATGAAGAAAAATCTACGGTCGTCATCACGTAGTTCGGTTTGAAGATGAGAACGGGTATTGAGTGCCTCTAGGTGATGTTGCAGCAATCATTGGAGGTAATAAAGGATTCCCAGCATTGCTTGGGTTGTAGTCGGTTGATTTAAACTATTCGTTTTTAACCAATGATGCTTGAATCATATTTATCCTTTTATTTCTTTCCACACTGGTTGCATGTACTCACCCAGCCGAAATGTATCATAATGTTCCGCGAACGGTGGATGATTCTCGATTCATTACCGTAATTTATAACTCGAGCGTAAATTTCAACGAATGTCGCTGGAGCATCGTGCAAGCAATGAGTGCCTGGGTGATTCAGTTCTCGCTAGATATGAACTATTGTAGTTCAGTTTTTGTTGTGATACTTTAGAAATCTCTACAGTCTACGACTTGAAGTTAAATTATCGCGACGGTAGGACCTTGGAACAACATTTTCTTGGTTATTTATTTTTTCTTGAAGACTTATTAGATATTAGAGTTATATTTTGAGCCACGAGTGTTCTTATTGATTTCTGATTTTTCAGATTATGGAGTTTTGAGCAGAAAGTAGGATCCTTGATAAACTCTGAAATAAATTTCAGAGAATTTCTGTAAAGTTATAAGAAATAAATAAAATCTCTGTAAACTAATGCAAGCTCAAATCACACGTCAACACCCTTGAAGTGAAGATGACGACTCAGCAGGTGCATGCCTCTGTGGCGATGGCACCTACGGAATCGCAGCCAGCGTTCTGTGGCGAAGACGAGTGGGTGCGCAAGCACCTGGAAGCTCGAGATGCCGAGCGTGCACGGCGCAATGCCCCAGACGGCGGATTCACTACTGTGGAGACTGTGCGCTTCAACCGCGCTGAGTTCACCAGTCAGATCCAGGTGAAAAGACGAACTACGACGACATAACTGTAGTAAATAGCGGTGTTCTGACGTTTGTGTGGCTATGGTTCGGCCAGGAGTTCCTGGATGCGGACGTGAGCGACGGCTTCGTGATTGGCCTCAAACGCCGGCGAGAGTTCGCGCTCCAGCTGTGTGAGGACTACAAGAAGTTCACGGAGTCACAGAGGCTGGAGCTGGTGCTAGCTCTAGCGGTGGATCTGGGAGTACGAGATCTGGCAGTTATGATGAGAACACTGCCTTCTATCAAGCGCTCTGGTCTGGTGCTGAACGTGGCAGCGGCGGCTCTGGGATTCAGCCGTAAGAATGACCCCAACATCTCCAAAAGCGTCAAACGGGGACTCGTGCCGCTTGCGGAGCAGTTTTTCCTTCTGGTTGGTACGATCCAGCCTGGCCCACTGTTTCTGCTCAACTTGAGAGTAGATTTGGGCATCCTAATTGCACGCCATCGAGACCATCTACCCAAGTCCAGCGTAGAAGCACTGGGGCTACTGGATTTGATCATGCGGGACCTGTTCGCTACTCAAGGAAGCATGCGTTTCCGTCGAATTGATTTGTCCTCAGAAGATCTGGCTGCCTTCGTGCTGAAACATGAGCGTGTGCATCAAGTTCGAGGCTGGGGGGATCTGCAGCGCCGCCTTGGAGGACGACAACGCTACTGCTTCGGACTTTTTCACATGCACATGCCTCACGCACCGCTGGTGTTTGTGCAGACGGTTGTGACAGACCACCTGTGTAGCAATATCACTCCGATTCTGGAGGAAGAGACCCCAGTGGTGAAAAACCCGTCACACATCATCTTCTACTCGGTATCTACGTCGAACACCGGGCTACGGGGATTGAACATTGCAAGTCATTTACTATTTCTTACGATCCAGCGCATGAGCAGCATGTTCCCGCAGTGCAAGACGGCAGCAACTCTATCTCCTGTACCTGGCTTTGCTCGGTGGTTTAAGGCAGCTCTAGCTAGTGGAGATCAGCAGTCGCAGACCACCTCGGATGCCAAGAATGTTCTGCAAAACAAGGACCCAAAACTACAGCGTTCGGAGCCGCTGCAACGGAGCTTCTTTAATTCGGAGCAAGCACAGCGTCTTAACATGAAATATGGAGTAAACCAACTGGTGCTCCACAAGTGGCTTCTGAAAAAGCTCAGCGATCCTGCATGGCACCGGGATGCTGAGCTCGTGGACAACATTCGTGACATCATCACAGCTGCATGTGCGCGCTACATCCTCTTTGAGCGAAGGCAGGACAAGATTCTGGATCCCGTGGCGAATTTCCATCTGCAAAATGGTGCCCAAGTTGAACAAATCAACTTTATGGCGGACACGACACCGTCCGCGCTGATATCAGCCTTGGGAATGATGATCAATTACCGCTACTGCATGACATCGATCGACGTTACTTCAGTCTCATACAAGCGAAAGTCTCTGGCGGCAGTATCACCTGCAGCTGCTCGACTGGTCTGGCCAGCAGACAGCGTCATTCTTGACGGTAAATGCAGTGCATTAATTGTTTGGTGAGATTGATTGGTGTCTAACATTGTTCTGGTGCTCTTCAGAAATCGAGCGCTTGAAGGACAAGCGTAATACGCCGCTGTTTGCCAAGGTTTTCCGTGCTGGCGAAATTATTAGTGCTCGAGGATCTTTACCAACGGCTATCTACTTCATTGCGTACGTTGCTTCGCTTGCTTTGCTGTTTGAAGTGAGAAATACTGAGCATATTTCTTTGATAGGTCCGGTAGAGTACGCGTACATTCCGCTCACCCGTACACACTTTGCGAAGGTCAAACGTTTGGTGAGCGCGAGTCGTTGAATGACGAGCCCGTGGCCTTTACAGTTCGCGCCGAGACAGCAACGCACTTGCTGCTGTTGCCGTACAATGACGTGAAGGCGATTCAAAGGGAATCAAGCGCACTGCGAGATTACGAAGGCAGCGATCCACGTGTGTGGCAGCAACAACTTTACATGTCATTCCACGGTAGTAAGCTCTAGTAGTAGGCTGGTGTTTGACATTTGATACAGACGATGTGAATGGAGTACACTATACTACGGAAAGATGGCATTGGAATCTACCAACTTGCTACTTGGCAGCTTTGGCTGGTAGGTCTTCTAGGCGCAGCGTACCTTCCTTAAGCATCGCGATCTCAGCGCGGGTCAAGAAGCGACCGCCAGGTCCACGCGGACGTCGCATGGCGTGCTTGTGACGCGAGTCGTGGAGATACGCCTTGCGCTGGCGGTTGTTTCCTAGCTTGGCCTCCAGCTTTGCCCGCTGCTGGCGACGGATCATAATGCGGTGGTATTGCTTGGCGTTCACGTAGACAGGTTCCTCCTCTACCGTGTCCGACACCGCGGGGGTCGTCGCTCCCTGAGTTGTCAGAGCATTCAACAAGGGCGAGTTCAGCTGAAACCCACCACCAAACAAGCAACCACCCAAGCCAATCGATTAGTGTGCCGAGACACAGCAACGTCAAGACCATTTGCACGTACCAGGAACTGCGGCATCATCATCATCTGGTTGTTGTACAACTGCCGGAGCTGCTCGTTGTTCGGCTGCTGCTGTTGCTGTTGTCATGGTTAGAAGAAACAAATTAGCTCACTTCCGCATGATCTTAAGCCCTGACAGCTTACCATTTGCTGGAGAAACTGTAGCTGCTGAGACTGGTATAGCGCGATCTGTGCAGCCTGCGCGTCGGTCAAAGCTTGTGACTGCTGCTGCGTCGCCTGCTCCTGGGACTGAGACTCAGACAGATCCTGACCTTGCGTTGACGTTTGCAACTCGACGGATTCCATAGCTATTGGACTGGGTTTTTTTTTATCTCGCTGCGGACACTACATGCGTAAGGTGAGCTACTTGCGCCTCACACGATACGAACAGCTTCAAGGCCGGCGTGACGTACCTGAGCTCGGAAATGGGCGAATGAGCGCGCCTGGAATTATTTGACCGCAATGATTGGACGGCTGCGCTGGCTCCAATGAGAATCGCGGATGTGCACCACATCAACTTACTTTCATCCCCCCATTCGCCGAAAAGGAGTGATCTTTTCATCCAATCCACAGTCGCTACAACCTTGCCACGTAGATCGCCCTCATTCAAAGCTCGCCCAGGGGAAGAAGCGGATCTTGTCCTCTTGTCGGCACCTTATAGGCGCTGCATCCTCCCGACGGCTATGCTGACCAAGTTCGAGTCCAAGAGTAACCGCGTCAAGGGTCTGGCGTTCCACGTGAGTCGTCCATGGATCCTCACGTCGCTGCACAACGGTGTGATCCAGTTATGGGACTACCGCATGGGCACACTGCTGGATCGCTTCGACGAGCATGACGGCCCTGTGCGTGGCGTGGACTTTCACCGCACACAACCGCTGTTCGTGTCGGGTGGCGATGACTACAAGCTGAAAGTATGGGACTACAAGCTGCGCCGCTGCCTGTTCACCCTACTGGGCCACCTGGACTACATCCGCACGGTGCAGTTCCACCACGAATACCCATGGATCCTCAGCTGTAGTGACGACCAGACCATCCGCATCTGGAACTGGCAGTCGCGCTCCTGCGTGTCCATCCTCACGGGCCACAACCACTACGTCATGTGCGCACAGTTCCACCCTAAGGACGACCTCATCGTCTCGGCCTCGTTGGATCAGACGGTCAGAGTCTGGGACACCACAGGTCTCCGCAAGAAGACAGTGCGCGGTGCTCCCAGCTCCATGGACGACATGGTGGGTCCTCCGACGTCTCGCTCCAACAACCACGACATCTTCGGCGCCAGTGATGCCATCGTCAAGTACGTTCTGGAAGGTCACGACCGCGGCGTCAACTGGGCCAGTTTTCACCCTACACTCCCCCTTATCGTCTCTGGAGCTGATGACCGCCAAGTGAAGCTCTGGCGTATGAACGAGACTAAGGCCTGGGAGGTGGACACTATGCGTGGGCACACCAACAACATCTCGTGTGTGCTGTTCCACCCACGTTACGAGCTCATTATTTCTAACAGTGAAGACCGTTCTATCCGTGTGTGGGATATCTCCAAGCGCATGGGTCTACAGACCTTCCGCCGCGAGAACGACCGCTTCTGGATGCTCGCTGCTCACCCCACACAGAATCTGCTCGCTGCCGGTCACGACTCCGGTATGATTGTGTTCAAGCTGGAACGTGAACGTCCAGCTATGGATATACATGAGGGCCGCGCGTATTATGCCAAGGAGCGCTATGTGCGCATGTATTCGTTCGTTGACGGCAGCGACGTCCCGGTCGCTGCTGTACGTCGCACGGGTACGGCCGGTACGGGTATGGGTAACTTCCCTCGTCACTTGAACTACAACCCGTACGACCAGAACTCAGGTACCAACAGTGTGTTGATGACGAGCGACGCTGAAGGTGGCTCGTACGAGCTGGTGACGTTCACTCATGGCTCAGGTGGTGACACGTCGGAGTCGAGTCGTGGACCTGGTCTCTTTGCTGTGTTTGTGGCACGCAACCGCTTCGCTGTTTTGGATAAATCGCGTCACATTGTGATCAAGAACTTCCAGAATGAAGTGACCAAGAAGATCACCCCACCCAACGGTACAGCGGACGGCCTGTTCTTCGGTGGTGTAGTGGGTCGTGTACTGCTCCACATTGACGACAAGATGGTGCTCTACGAGACGCAGAGTCGTCGTGTGTTGGCTGATGTACAAGCTCCTCGTGTCAAGTACGTTGTCTGGAGTCCCAATTACGAGTACGTGGCTCTGATTAGCAAGCACTCTATCGTACTGGCCGACAAGCAGCTGAACCACCTGAGCACTATCACTGAGTCAGTGCGTATTAAGAGCGGTATCTGGGCCAATGCTCCTGCTGAGATCTTCGTCTACACGACGCTAAACCACATCAAGTACTCGTTGACGAACGGTGATGCTGGTATTATCCGCACTCTGGATGTTCCGGTGTACTTGACTCATCTGGAAGGTTCTAAGCTCTACTGTCTTGACCGTGAGGCTAAGATGCGTACGATGGCTGTGGATCTTACGGAGTGCGAGTTCAAGATTGCTCTGAACAAGAAGAACTACACTGAGGTGATGCGGATGGTTCGCCACTCGAGACTTTGTGGCCAGGCTATTATCTCGTATCTGACTAAGAAGGGCTATCCGGAGGTGGCGCTGCACTTCGTTAATGACGAGAAGACTCGTTTCAAGCTCGCTATCTCGTGTGGAAACCTTGAAGTGGCTCTGAACTCGGCGTACGAGCTGGATGACAACAAGTGCTGGTACCAATTGGGTGTAGAGGCACTTCGTCAAGGTAACATCCAGGTCGTGGAGATGGCCTACCAACGCACCAAGAACTTCGAGCGTCTGAGCTTCCTGTACCTAGTCACGGGCAATCGCGACAAGCTTAAGAAGATGCTGAAGATCGCTGAGGTGCGCAATGACATCATGGCGCGCTTTCACAATGCGCTGTACCTTGGAGATGTCGAGGTTCGTGTCATGACGCTGGAAGCTGCTGGTCAGTTCGGTCTGGCGCTCTTGACGGCTGCCACTCACGGGCTCGGCGACCATGTGGAGCGTCTGCGTGCACTAATGCAGGAGACGAACCCTGACTTCGATGTGGATGCTTTCCTGGCGCGCGAGATGCTTCCAAACCCGACGTTGCTGTCCCCGCCGCCGTGTGTGAGTCGCCTGGAGAACGAGAACTGGGCGCTCGTGGAGATCAACGAGCCGACGATCCAGGACCACGCTATTGCCGCTGAGAAGCGCGAAGCCGAACGCAGTCTGCAGCCGCAACAGGAGGCAGGCCGTCGCTCAATGGAGGAGCGTCCGGCACGCAAGTCGTCGATGGATCTGGCTCTGGATGCTGCTGGAGATGCCTGGGGTATGGACGGTGACCTCGACTTGGATGACTCGCTTACGATTGATGACCAATCGCTGGGAATGGACTCGGCTGCGCTGGAGAACGACTTTGCTGGTCTCAGCACGGACGCTGGCTTCGTGGCGGCTCCTACGGCGGGTACGAGTCTTGCAGTACAGTGGGTGCGCAACTCGTCGTTGGCTGCTGATCACGTGGCTGCTGGTTCGTTCCAGACCGCTATGCAGTTGCTGCACCGCCAGATCGGTGTCATTAACTTCGAGCCACTCAAGCCCGTGTTTCTCCAGGTATACTCGGGTGGTTCAGCTTCCTTGCCGACGCAGGGTAATTGCCCACCGCTGCGTGCGTGGCTGCAGCGCAACGACGTCAGCCAACCGGCTGTGGCTGTGTCGTTTGCTGCTCTCGTTGAGGAGCTCAAGCACGCGTACCGTTCGTTCACTGGCGCCAAGTTTGACGACGTGAGGACCCACTGCCAGTCGATTTTACATGCTATCCCGTTCCTGGCCGTGGACTCCAAGGAGGAAGCGGAGAAGGTGAAGGGATTGCTGACTGTTTGCCGCGAATACTTGCTGGCTTGCCGTATCCGTGCTGATGTGGCTGCTGTGCCTCTGGAGAGCGACCCGAAGCGTAATATCGAGCTGAGCGCTTACTTCACGCACTGCGAACTGCAGCTACCGCACCTGGTGTTGACACTCAAGATCGCTATGACGAATGCATTTAAGGCTGGCAACTTCATCACGGCGGCGTCGTTCTGTAGACGGTTGTTGGAGATTCCGGAGGTTGCGCAGCATCCGCGCCATGAGAAGCTGCGCTTGACTGCGCGTAAGGTACTACAGAAGGCCGAAAAGGAGGCCCGTAACGAACATGCAGTGGACTACCAGGACTCGAAGCCGTTTGTGCTGGACGCGCGCAACTTTACGCCGATTTATTTGGGTGGGAAGGATGTGCGTTGTCCGTACTGCGCTGCTGCGTATCACCCGGAGAGCAAGGGCACACTCTGCGACGTGTGTGGCATCTCGAAGGTTGGCGAGGAGACTATCGGGCTCGTGGTCACTGCAGCTCAGTAAGGAAGTTGGTAGATGCAAGCTGTTGAAGTCTGCTAAATCAATGCGTGGCGATTTTTTATTGACGTCCGTTGTATTTTCGTCCAATGTCTATTCACGATTGATGTTTTTCACCAATCAAAATCATTAAATTTGAAGACGCTGTTCAAATTCAAATCATTGCGCGCAAATCTTTGTCCGCGGCCGTTGGTCAAAATTCAAATACGATGCGGAGCTCCGTCGCCCGAAGGCACTTCGCGCAGTTCGATGACGAGCTGCAGGACAGCGACCAGACCTTCTCGACGCCTGCGCGGCATCTGCGGCCTCGTGCACGGCTCCCCACGGTCGCAGACGCCAGCGACAGCAGCAGTGGGAGGCCATCGCGTCGACAATTCTCGACCTCCGCGTTCTTCTCGGACACGACGGACGACGACGTATCACGGCCAATAACGAAGCCCTCAGACCGCTCCCGGCTCTCCATGAGCGCACACAACCGCCCAGCACAGACACGGAACAACAGATCGCCGCTGCATATGAGTGCGGGGCCGAGAAAAGGCCACAAAGGGACATCTCACGTGCCCAGACTCCATGTAAGCGCCATCCAGTTTCCAGCTACACGCTCGGTGCTCTGGGATCGTCGTCAACTGTCGGCTGCACCGATCGGAGTGTCATTGGAACAGGTTTTACCGCTTGTTATCATAGCAGCGGAGGCTTTGAAGGAGATTTACAGGTTATACAAGGATAAAAGTGGCGTCCGCGGCAGTGGAGCAGCACTGTGTTATCTGTATGGAGATGCGACGTCGACGAGAGGGAAGAAGGTGTTATTTGAGGGAGTAACGATGAAGAAGGAGGGTGCGAAGGCTGCAACGTGGTGTATACCTGTATATACAATAGCGGATGGGAACAACCCTGGACTCTCACAGGAGACCTATGTGTCTACTATCGAAGCCGTGCAGAGCAGCTATCGAGACGAGTATACTGACAACGTCGCCTCGAAACTACAGCCCAAGTTGCTGGTGTTTCGGTCGTCTCCTCATGCCGCACAACTGGATTTCCAGCTGGAATGCGCGGCGTCTCCCGTGCTCTTCAAGTTTTCTTTGGTACGCAACTTGCCACTGCTCATGACGCCGCTCGCTGGGAGTTTAGCAAAGCGCGAGTTCAGTATGCACTCCGGGAATATGCGATCAGGTTATCTCACTCTTGATCGAACTCGGAAGGCGGTACCGCTGCTGAAAGTCGATCCTCTAGTCCTGCAGCAGCCAGTTGTAGGCGTTTGGGTATATGGAGTCCAGATCGATGACGCGTGGGATAAAGAAACCGCGCGACGACAACTGGCTGATCCCTTCTTGTACTTCGCGTGCATTGGGTACGTGATGTCTGAGGCAATTAAAGAGCGCGTAGGGCCCGAAAAGAACACGTTCTTGGTGGCAATTTATCCTGCTGATGATCCTGACAGCGGTGCTGTCGGTTCATTGCCGCGTTTCTTCGAATGCAGCTACTCGGAATTCCTGTCGCCTCCATCGAGGCCACTTCCAATGGAACTATATTCCCATCGACGGTCTTGTTTAGTAGGTGTGTCGAAATTTTCGAGTGGCGTGGAACTGACGTTGTCTGCTGCGCCAACAAACGAGTGGGAAGAGGCTAGACGTCAAGTAAAAATTCCTACGACGTCGTGTTCAACAGATATCGATGATGCACCGGAGCATTCAGTCGCTGTCAGCGAAGAAGAAAAGGAGGATGCTACAAGTGGCTGGACCATTACAGCTGATGCCATTCGAAAGAGTTCCTCTCGAGATACAAAGCCACAGAGTGAATCATCGGTACTGAGTGAAAAAGATGTGGTTGATACAAGACTCTCCACGGAGGACGATGCTGTGGTTATTCAAGAGAAGACAGCAACTCCGATCAGTGGTCGAGACCAACGTGATGCAGGTGAAAAAGAGACTTCGCAGCCGGCTCCGAATGAGACGGAAAAAAAAGAAACTACGGGACCTGCTCAGCACGACTGGACTGGTAACACCAGTAGCTCCCGAAGTTGCTGTAAAACACAGCAGCTGTTGACAATTCAGCATCAACAGATCCTTGAAAACCAGCAGAGGCAGCTTCACGAAATGCAAGAACAGATCGCGCAGCTACGTCGTCTCCTACACGCTGCAAGAAGTGACAGCAACAAAAAGCAAGTATATATGTCTCCAAATGACGAAGGGTACGACTCGGACGCTAGCAGTTCGAGTATTGGAGCAGTGGCCGATGTCTCCAACGTTTCCGGTACGTTTAGCAGACACGGGAATGAGCATGTGAGTTCTCAATCTTCAACGGTCTCAGGACCACGGCATAATGATGATGGCCCGCTTTCTGACGAGGCTTTTATTCACACGCAACAAGATAACGTGGGCAGTGAAGGAGATGAAGAAGACAACGATGTCTCGTTAAGCTCGCTGGGATTGTCATCGATCAGCAGTGGCTCTGCAGCTGATTTATCATCGCTATCGTCGTCACTTGTGGGCAAACGGAGGAAGAAACTCGGCGCTTCGCAACTTCACGGGACAGAGAATGCTAATGTCGAAGAAGTTGATCCCGAAGTCGACGATTTAAGCGTATCCCAGCTATCACAAGTATCAAAGGGCAGCCAGAAGACAGCGCAACAGCCAGCCGCTGAAGCTTTGACAGGTGTTGCAGCAGAGTCCACCATCGACCAAGAGACTGAAGCGGTGGAGAAGAGTCCCAATGCACACAACGTATCTGTTGGAGAATTAAGCTCTACACCAACTGAAGTCAGCAGGGGGACAGGTAGAGCAGCTGACAGTGACGAGGTTGATGATCGAAGCAGCGATGGCCTGTCGGCAATTGAACGGCTGCTGCCACCTGACGCCTACCTTCGGAAAGTAGGGGGCTTTGTCGATCATCACGGTGGCTGCTTCACGTCGCCACCTCTTGATTTCCACAGCTTTTGCGTGCCACGCATCAAGTTTTCGACTGAGACTCCGGAGTGCTCCATGTCCGATTCAGAGGACGAAGAAATCCGCCTCATCGAGCAAAAGTACAAGCGACTAATGGCAGTATGAGCGACCTACAGTACATTGAACCTGCCAATTAGTAGGTAGCACAACTTCGTTTCAGCAGGTACACTAACATTAACCGTTTACATCGTAGCCCACTCCTGGCAGCAACATTCTTCATGGCACCGGCACAAGCAACTGGTCAATCGCCTGCTTGGTTTCTGACTGTAACGATGGTCCAGAGGCTTCCGAGTCCTTCACATACACGAGGTATTCTGCAGGGAGCATGAACACACTAGCTGGTTGTCCGGGTGTGGCAGCATGCACCACGAACCGGAAGCGGTTCAAATTGTAGATACCAGACGCCATAAAGCATGCCTTGAGATTAATTGTAACCCGACTGTTAGGCGAGAACCGAGCAATCTTCTTCTTGGTTACACCAGTCCAGAAGAAACGAGGCGGCGCACCATGGGGTGGAGACGCTCCGGAATGAGACACAGAGTGTAACTTTGTCAACGGAGACGAAGCAGGAAGTGAAGCTTGGGTCTCTTCGGGATGAAGCATTTCGACTGTAACATCGAGAGGTGTTGAAGTTGGCACCGAGTCATTGCAGACTTCCATCGAGATATCCAACTCCGCGATTGTCAATCCTGACGTAGGCCCGGGGTATGTGGATCTCCGCAGCTCAACAGAGTCATTGTAGCTGAGTGTCACCGTCAGAGGACATGACGTTTCCTGTGGTACCGGCCGGATCTTCACCGATGTGAGATTTGCCTGGCCAATTGCTCGATGAGGCGACACTTGGTCGGAGTAAGATGCGTGGCAATCGGTCGACCATACGAGTACAAGGTGGCCGTCGGTATCCAAGTGAGACAATAGTGCGTCTTTCGACGTTGGCTGCGGTTCTTGCTGTGGCTTGTGGTCGATAACGTTTTCACCCGCCGCACTTTTCAGCGCCTTATTCTCTCGTCGCACACTTTGAATCGTACGAAAGCCGCCGCCACGTTTGCCGTCATTTGCATCACCAGATCCAGCACCACCAGCACGGACGAGCTCTACAGCGTTTTCCAAGCACAAGAACTGTTCGATCGGGAGGCTCGTTGACAATTCCCCGTTCTGTTCAGAGTTGAGTGCCAACTTGCATAATTCAGTACCAGAAGTATCACGGCGTCGAATTACGCGGAAGTAACTTGTGCTCGCTTCAAAGAAGCCTAGATGCAGAGAATCCCGCACGTTAGTAGCAATCTGCGACGGCGTTCGTGCCAATCTCTCTACTGCCCAAGTGTTGCTGACACACAAGAGCTCCTCCAGTCGCACCATGCCGTCCAGACCATTAGCCATGTTGTGGTGGTCGCCTCGCTGGTTTGACACAGTGATGCCAAGAGTATACTCGCCACTGGCACCGAAACTTGGCTCGATGGAGTACGACACATCGATACACGGCAGCAAGTCCAGGTCCAGCTTAATTTTCGCTGTGCGCGAGAGTGAGGCCTTGGCTGTTCCAGATGAAGTCGTGTACTTGAATAACAGGGCTGCATGACGTCGGCCAGGTACTGCACCTCGTGCCCATATCGTCACTTCTCTTCTTTCTCCAGGGGCGAGAATAACCTCACGCAAGTCCACAACATGTCCATTCACGCCAACGTAACCACATAGATCTTCAAGGTTACCAGTTCCAGATGCACAAAGCTGTAAGTCGGTACAACAGATTTGCAGTCCACCCAATGGTGCAGTTCCAGAGTTGACGAGAGAAACCTTCAGCTTCATCAACTCACCCACAAAGGATTCAGCAGGAACACCATCGACTTTCACTCCAAGCCACGGCATAGATTCGACAACGTTGGCGATTAGACTCATGTTCGGAGCTCGAGCTCGAGCTTCCCGGTTTGCTCGAGTATCTTGCAATAGCGGTCCAGGGATGTCGAACGCGTGCTCGCCTTGGACATCGCCACCACATATCGACCAGCGGACGCCAGTTAAGCTAAGCTTTCCACATATCTTCGGGCACACTGCAAGCCGGACTCGTTCTTCACTGCACGGGAGGAGCTGCAGATTCACGCTATCAATCACTATACGCTGTTCGCCAGTCTCTCTGCTCTCAGGGACATCAAACACCTCGTCGGAGGTCTCGAATTTCCCAAACAAATGAATCTCTTCAACGTCCACAGCACAAGACAAGGCGTTCTTCATCACAAACTCGACATAAATCTGCTCTCCCAACACGTAGTTCTCCGGTTTCTGAACCACAGCATTCTTTTTACTGCGATACCCAGCGTACAGATGCGAAGGCGCAAACCAACTCTTGGCTTCCTCATTGCTCCCAGATGTAACGTATTGATACAGTCGGTTCTGCTTGTCAACCATTTCTCCAAGTTCTTGCCAGATCTCCGCTTCTGAGTGGTTACCGTCGATAGATCGATCAATCCCGAACGCATTAGTCGCTGCAAACACAACGGTAGACTTGTCATCCAACTCAGGCATGCACAAGTCCCTTACGAGCAGTTTCTTGGCGCTACCGTCTCCGTCCTTTATCAAGACGGGCCCACCTCGAGAAAATGACGACGGCGAAGCGTCAGCACGTTCTGTCACCAGGAAATCCTTGACCATCAGACCGAAATCGTACAGCATAGCTTCCTGCTGACTAGCCGAGTTACGGCCTGTACCGATAAGCTTGAGAAACAGGTTAATAGAAGCCATACGGTCGTCCAACTTGTTCGCCTGTTGCGCAAGCATAAAATTGATATGATCTTCGACCAGGAACCAGCCGCTGCAGTCGTAGATGGCACGAGCCAACGAGTAGCACCTCGCAGAGTGCTGCTCATGCCCCAGAGAGTCGTACACATGACCAGCCATAACCATTCGGAAACCATACTTGCGGAATTTCGGTAGTCGCGCGCGGAGATCACATAGAGCTGCACGCTCCATGAGCACAGCAGCGCAAATTCCCTGCTCCATCGTTGACCCACGAATCAGAGCAGCAGATGCGTTGTCCATGTAGTCCGTGAACAGACCAGACTTGCTCAATGCGTGGTAGATCTCACCAGCAATCACAGAAGTACGGATAGCCAGACGTTGAGTTAATGGAGACGGCGTCTTGGCATAGATCGCATTGGCAGCATCCAGAGCATTAGTCATCTGCATAGGCGATCCTTTTGTAAGAAGTAAACAGAGCGCAATCATCTCGTTCACATTGGCGCAATGGAAGACCGACTTGTCGGACTTAAAGTCGTCACGCACTAAGCGATACATTTGCAACGCCAGCTCGTAATCTCGCACAAGAAACGCTGTATCGGCCAGAAGACGCGTCTGCGACTCGATAGAATCGCACTTATAAAGCACTCCACCTGATGATGAAGCGTTAGACGGACGCAAGTCCTTCGGTTTACGCAGCCACGACTTGAACACGTTCTTCACTCCCTTTTTCATCGCCGAAACAACCTCATTCAACTGGAAAATACGTCCCTCAAGCGACGACAACATGAACCGCAGTCCAAAATCTCGCACAAACGCCTTAATCTGCGCCACATCGTCTCTTGATAACAATGCACCCACTCCCTCAGTCACTTGAGGGAACGTCTCCAATTCATGTGGGAATAGTGGAGGTCTGACGTAAGGATTGTCCGTCCACACTGTCGCGAACTGTGACGGCACCGGAGCGTCTTGTACTGGTAACGAATTGATCCTTAGCACGGCTCCATTGACTGTAGAAATGTTCATACTCCTCAAGATGGCATCGGGGTCAATAGACGTGCCCTCGGTCTCCAACATATCATGCACTACAACGTAGAATTTGGGTACCAATGTAGCATCATATAGTCCCATTTGGAACGGCGCTGGGAGGTACCTAGGCGCAGTCAGTTCCTCGAAACTATGGCGTGGATTTGGGTCTGTGGAGCTCACGACCACGAGCATGGCTACTGGGTGACACAAAAGACTGTACTCTTCGCAGCGGAATGTATCCATGAGGGTGTGTTTGAAGGACCCGTACCAGGGCATGGGGTCGTTGTCGCCTTCTGCGTCGGCATCAGCGCCGACGATGCGTAGGTACGTGGGGACGTCGTCGACGTTGGTGACGCGTGGGATATCCAGCTCCACTGCGGAGGCAGCCGATGCGTTGTGCTGCGGAGGGTGACGTTTGATAGTGGCATTGAGCTGCTCGGTGGCTTCATTGACGCCCATAGTGCGGAACTGAGTGGTGGCTAGGAAGCGGAAGTTGAAGCGTGCGAGCTGGATCGGATGCGTTACAGAACGCATCGGCGTGTCGGCGTCGTCCAGGCGCGCAAAGCCATTGAGCAGGTTGGCCACCGACAGGTTGTTCTTCTGAGCGATGCGCTCAGCTTCTGACGTGGAGCATGTGAGCACCACAGGCGCGAAGGTGTCCTGCACCCAGCTCTCGAACGGCTCCATGAGGGGGGAAGCGATCAGGCACGAAATGATGACCCAAAAATGAGAAAATAGACTGTTTTAGGTATTCTGTAGTGAAAATAGTCCGCTTTTCACCAAAAGTGCAACAATGCATCAGGCCGAAGCTGAGGCCAGGATGAACGTCATTGCGCTTATGCCAACGGAGCGCAGATGCATGAACTGTGCACAATTCACGGAGGTGGAGATCGCTGCAGGTCGGAGGTCCAGAAGGGAGACCTGCGCTCGAATAACTGTGATATTCGTCAACCAGGTTCACGTGCGAGTTCAGAGGATTCGATGCACATTGATCTCACGGCGGAAGAATGCAAAGACACCTCAATAGGAGCTTCAGCCAACGAAGCTGCATCTGCGGCTAAAGCTGCTGCCGTGCTCTGCCACATCGATGGCTGCACTACTGTCGCCGAAAAGAGTGACAAAAACGGCATGTGCCAATTCCATGCCGTCAAGCCGCGCTGCAACAACATCGGGTGCCTCAACTTCGCGCACTACAATAGCGCGCTGTGCCTGATGCACCTGAGTAGTGATACTAAGGACCTTACCGACAATTAGAATACCAGGAACAACGACACAGTTGTCAGAGATTCTGCGGTGACCAAGCATAATGTACGTGCATGTTTATCGACGGGCGACATCACTGCTGAGCTCTTAGAATCGAGCACTGCTCGACAACAAGAGCTACAGGCCCGACAGTACTGCGACGTCGTGTTGTCGGCCCGATCCGAGCTCTTCGCCATTCTGAGTGGAGGTGATACACCTGAGACCTTCGACGCAGCTATCGACGCGCCGAATAGTAGACCCACAATACAATTAACTGCTCGCGACCAGCAGAAAATCGCCGAGCAGTTTTGCAACGACACCGTTGCTGCTCGATTGCACCAATTCATGAACACGACTGCGGCTTCCTCACCACCCGCGCGTATGTTTGTCAATACTATTGACAGTGGAAGAGAGCGGCTACGTAATTACGGCCGCGTCAAGGAATGAAACATCCGAGGCTGCCGAAACCTGGCTAACGGGAGACCGTTGTGCGCACCACACGAGGCCTCGGCAACTGGTCAGTACTCTGGACGCTGATATCAATTGAGGGAGCTTGTGACGGGGTCACACAGCACCTTGCGCTGAGGAAGTAGGCTTCCAAGAGTATACAAACTCTAAGTGAACGACAGTTCACGTGTCCCTGGTCTGAAGGGGACAAGTACTCAAGTAAGGGTACGTTTAAGACTGAGTGTATTTATAGGTAAGCTTAGCTTGGTTTTCTAATACAAACTACTTCCTCTCGTTGGTAATAATTGCAACAGTATCCCTAGTCAAGAACGTGGTTTTTCCTACAGACTCGCTTTAGAAGCGCTGATTGGCGGATTCGTCGTGGTGTGATCCCCTCTTTCCAACGCTGGTTTACGCACGAAAAACACTGCTCAGACACCAGAGTTATCGACGGAAATATACCGCAGGCAGCTTGCCATTTAACAATTTTCAGCATCTTTAACACCAGACACTCCCCATTTTCTAGCCGCATGACCAACGTAGCCGACTCAACTGGGGCCACTTCGAGGCCAAACCTAACGAACTGAGAACGCCAGGATGTCGTCCTCTTCATCCCCATGCACAGCGTGCGGGGGAAACCTGACTGGGGTTGCTTGACCGTGCATCTGACCATTTTGGCGTCGACAAGAGCACAATCAGCCGTGTTTGGTCACGGTTTCAAAAAGAAAGAGAAGCATCGGGAATTTCGGGAGTGCATAGCAGAAAGAAAGGGGTGTGTGGCCGAAAGAAGAAGGACCGCTCCGCACTGCTGGAGCAGATAGCCGACGTCCCTTTCAGACGCCGCATGAACCAAGACAGTTTAGCAAAAGAGGTGAGTGTGTCTCGCTCGGTGATCTTCGATTTGTTGTTCCTCTCCAAACCGATCTGGAGAGCATATCATCTTAAAGGTGTGGATAGTACAATGTTGCACTTATTTCGTCCCGGAGGAAGTATAAGTTACCTATA